CTAAAGCTTTCTCTCTCTCTCTCTGCAAGAGCTTAACTCGAGAGAAACGACCAATGCGAAACATGGAGCCGAAAAGAAACCTGAAGCAGAAGGAAACTCGTTTTTCAGGCGGGGGCCACTTGCGGAAGCAGGGTGGAACCAACCAACCACAGCCACTAAGAGGACCAAAGAACAGGCAAAGCGATGGCAGAATAACCTTCAGAAGACTCTGCCCAAGTTGGCGCAAAAGATCCATAGTCCAGGGGATGGATTTATTGATAGCGATATTTTGATTTATAAGAAGAATAATTCTAGTTCAACAAGAGTGCAGCGGGTTTTATGAAAAGTGTTCAGAACAGTGTTTTAAAATCAATAGTCGCCACAAACTGGAGCTAGAACGGATGGTGGCAATACTCAAGCGATTAGTCATCAGTCAAAAGTTGTTGGTAAGGCAAAAACAATAGAAAAAGAAGGGACGGAGAAGATTCCCAGCTTGGTTCAGTGTTTCCCCAACCACTGCTTAGACAGCCTCTGCGTCGGATTAGAATAGTTTCTTAACAAACTTTATTGACTGGTTATTTCACGAATTCGCGGCAGAAATTTTCAAGTTGTTTTGCCAGTAGAGAGGCCTAGCGCGAAGCTGCAAATCGAGTTGGAGCTGAGACCGAGATATAGGGGCCTTTAAAGGCGTTTGTCTGGAGCCGTGCGCCAATCAATTTTTATCGTTTTGCCTTAATTTGATGAGATTTTTATCGATTTCTCGTTGCGAACCCCACTGAAGTCGAGCATGATCCAACCATCCAAGAAGATTTAAGCCAGCAGCTTCTTCTTATTCATCATCAAGTTATTCTTTTTTCTTTGCATAAATTAAATTGGCTAATGGTCATAAATTTCGACTGGCCGCTTTCAGCTCCTTACTTTGCTTTTAGGGATTTATTTATTGACCTTCAACGTTAGAAATTTAGTAAACATGAAAGCTCATTTATTTTCAAGCCTCTGCGCTGTTTTTCTCCTTAAATGAGTGACTGACACAAGGGCCGAAGCTGTTGATGGATTGAAAAAGTTATGCAATGACTGTAGATTCGTTAATCGTTAATTGTTTGTACAAATTTTCTTTGCAAACAAAAGCAATTCTAAACACGTATACAAGCGACTGCAAATTGAATTAAATAGATGCTCTTAGGACAGATATATAGTTTAATAGTAAGCTAGAACTGTAAAAGTTGCTTATATTCTACAATATTTATATCTCTTTATATAACTTTTAATTACTTTCAATTTTGTAACACTTTCCCAAAATGTGGCTTACTTTCGAGTTAAGTAGAGTATTATATAAAAACCGAAACTTTAAAAGGGATTTACTTGATAGTTAACTATCCAGAAAAGACTTAAGACTCTCATTTCTCGAATAAGATAAGTAAGAAGTACTATACGTGGATATAAATATTTCAGGTATTTTATTATGACTGATCAACAACTTAAACTTATCGGCAAGGCACACATTCCTTTTTTAGGTTTTCAGCAAAAGTTCAACTGCAGTCCAAAAATGTTTTCAATTGTTGCACAACCGCCAGTAACAGCAGTGGGTTGCTGCCAATGCAACTACGGCAGCAGCAACATTTAGGCAGCATGTTTTTCGTCTTTTTCTATTGCTTTGCGTCGCCTTCCACCACCAACGGAAAAGTGCCGAGCCGAGACAAGAAATCGGCCACAGTGATCATGTTTATATAGACACGTATAGACAAAACAAAAACGACAAAGGCAACATTCAACTGCAACCGAACCAACGGCTGCACAGTTATGGCAATCGGCAAAGTTGCCAGTTGCAAAAATCAAACAAAGTGGCACAAAAACAGCGAGAGGCCAACTGCAACGGCAGGCAACTTCAAGTGGCCAAAAACTGCACATAAAAACAAAAGGAACAGACACCAGCTACACAAGGCTCTGTTTGCTTGTAGCAAAAAAAAAGAAACACATAAGCAGATATAGTAACTACTAAATCCAAGATTAATTTTATTTTGGGACGCACCCTCAATCGATCATTTCCGTCCGGTAACTTTACTTCCCTAGAACTACCGATGTTACTGAAATAGTTTCTTTTCGTTTTACTTTCATTCCTTTAGAACATTCAGCTGAGTATTATTTTGTTGGTCGGACCAAATCCACTTGGCGGTATTATTATTTAGTAGTTACTGCTCAAAATTAAAACAAGAAGAAACGCTATAGTCAAGTGTCGCGACTATAAGATACCCGTTACTGTTCTACACAATTGTAAAATACAAATTTTGCTAGTTTATATGGACAAAGCGCCACCTTTTGTCAAAAAAGCATGTCTACTAAATTATGGTTACGTCGCTGTCCATGTAAGGCCTTATAATTTATAATCTAAATTTCTTCATAAATAGCAAAGTGTTGTTCCGATTTGAAAAATCCTTGGTAAATCGATAGATATTGACAAAAATATTTTAAACAAGGTTAAACGAAGACATACATTATAATATTATGGATGCCACAGTTCGCAGTTCGCGGTTTGTGGGCGTGGCAGGATGCTGAAATCAACTCGCTGCATAGTTCCTGAGTTCTGAGCGTTCATACGGTCGGACGAGCGTGTCTTAATCGACTTCGATATTGAGTCTGATCAAGAATATATATACTTTATACTATAAAGTTTATAGGGTCGGAAACGCTTCCTTTTAACTGTTACGCACCTTTCAACGAATCTAATATACTCTTTTACTCTACGAGTAACGGATATTATATATAAAATAAAAATAACCTTTGACAGTTGTTTACAAATCGCAGGAACGGTAAGCAACTACGTACGATGCCAATAAATAAGGCTATAGAGAGCCGTCTTTCATCTTTCCGACAGAGAATTTGGCTTCAGATGAGTTCTTTTCTTTTCTAGTTTTCCACCTGGAGTTCTTCGCGAGGTTAGAACAAGGTAAACCTGCTGCCAAGTTATCGTATCTTTCAGTTGGATCTTTCCCCCTAGACAATGGAACAAAGCAAAAAGCCTTCTCGCTGTTATCGCAGCTTTCGAGCCAGAATGAGAAAAAGAATTATGGTGAGGAGGTCAATGCTGCAATTGTTAACTGCTAATTAGCAGTCAGAGTCAAGCCAGGGGGAGGATCAAGCGGACGGGACGTCGACGAGCATGTATCAATTTATGTATTGCAGAGGGTGGTGCGGGGCGAAGGGGGCAACGGGCGGCAGGGCAATCGGTGGCGGTTGAAACACCCGAAGGCATGCTCGAGAACCGGTTAACAGCTAGCTTTAAACTGGCAAGCATAAAGCAAAATAGTTAAGTTGTGGCAGTTCAAGATCGACCCAAGATATTGCTAGACAACTTATGATCAGGAGACAAAAATATTAAAATACAAGAACATAGGTGTTAATAGATTGTCGGTAGGTACTGTATGTAAAGGAAATATAATCATCGGTTCTCATTCCTGGGTTTAAACCAATTAAATTTCTTGGAACTGTTCTTCAGGGCTACTCTTTGGGGAAACAAGGTAAGCGAGCAAACCCGATACATTATGTTCGGTTGCCTGTCACTACGGTTTTTACACCATTTAATATTGGTAAGTTCAAAAACGTGTTTGTAACTGCATCGCCGACGTATTAGGGTGAACCAGATTTGGAACCTATTTGGAAGCAGCCGTCGTCTTCTCAGCCAGAATTATGACATCGAAAGCTGTAAATTAACCTGCGAGGCCGCACACATTTATGAGGAGTCCAAGAACATAAACAAGCATCGTCTGTCGATTAAGCGGAGCCAATCAACTTACAAAACCAGCGGTTAACCTTCAGTTGGACAGAGGAGAGCGGGATGAAAGAGTTCAAAAGCCGGGCTTACAATACGAAAAGAGTGCAGTCGAAGAGCGAACGAGCCAAACCAGAACAGCCAATAAACACAAAAACCGCAGGCCGACGCAGTCAAAATAATAATGAGCCCGACATTTAAAATGCTTTATGAGGCAGCCCTTTCTGCGGCTCCTCGAAAGCACAACTTTTAGTCCAACTTCAGTCTCATCAGCAGCATGGGCAGCCGCAGAATTGGCGAGTCTTCGATTTTTCTGGGTCAAGCCTCATGCGAAAGCAGAAAGAGCAAAAAGACTCGGCTCAAAAAATGTGTGGTAGAGTTCAAAACGTGCCTGGGCTATATTGTTCAGAGCCGTGTACTGCTCCTCAGCTATCCCCTTCGGAGACTCCCTGATCAGCCCGTCTCTGCTCTTATTTTCTTGGAGTCGTCGAAACAATTTCCGGTGGCCTACACTGAAAAAATGATTTGTCACCTTTAAGTCTGAATGGATTCGAAATAAATATTTTGTAAGGCCCACGTAAAAAATAAGATGTCTCATGTCTCTAAAGAAATATCAAATCCTAGATATGATGAAGATATTAAGTTTAACTACTCCCATTTTGGGAGTTATTTTAAAATTCAAGTAGGCAACAGAGAATTGAGTCAGCCAAGTTCAGGTCCGAATTCGAGGTTGGACTCGGGCCTCCGCCATATGAAAGTAGTTCAAGTGGCCAACGGCGCCGTTACATTTCACTGGTTACGAATTGAAGTGGCCCGAGAGCCACTTCATCAGCCCGCACTGGCTTTATGCTCCGATATTTCCGCAGATTGAGGCGTTAATTAATTTGTTTTGATTTCTGCGGCCTGAAATTCCCTTTTCGCCGTGGGTGGATTGCTCTTTATGGCGTGTGTGACGCGGAAAGAAGGAAATGCTGTTCTGGGATTGAGAACCATAGAACCAATAGAACCATTTTCGGATTGTCCAATGTTTTAAACTGAAGTGCAACTGAACTAAAAGCTGCCTAAAATTGTGGATTATAGATTTACTTTGTTTAATATTTAAAGAATATAACCAACTTGATCTATACGATAAATGTCTTCTTTTAATTACGTTATTGTTGTCAAGTGTTAATAGTTTTCAGTGTGATCGTCATCAACGATTAGTTTAATGTATACTTTGATGTTTTACTCCTTTTGAACGCTTAGGGTTTCTTACCATTTAAAAGTAATTAAAAGTATTCCAATTGTCCCCTTTTCAGTCTCTCGGATTTTTATGGATTTCTGTTGCTGTGTTGATAAGATGGGATTTCACGTTGGTGTTGATTTCTTGGCCTCACCAGTTTGTCACATTTTGTTTGAAGTTTGTTTCTTTTGCAAGCACATTGTGCGCATAGCTTTTCATGTAAACTACTTGCCCGAATGGAAGCGACTCGATGGCAATCGAGGAAATTATTGCACGACGAATATCGAATTTTTCACCTGTAATTTATTAACGGTAAATTACTCATCCAACGGGCCGGCATGTGCATTTGTATGGATTAACGAGTGACGAAGCACGGGCAAGCCACCAAAATGCCAATAAATAAACAAAATGCAGCCGCGGAAAACCGACGATACTTGTTGGAGCTGAATACGCGGAAACTGTTGCAAGCGAATCGAAACCAGAAAGACTTTTTCTGCACACACCGTCCAATCAGAAACAACACACACTCTCGCACTCGTTCTCTTCTCTCCCACACACTCACACAAACAAAGGGACACACACGCACCAGTTGTGCTCTGCACTTGCCTTCTGTGCTTTCTTCGAGTCTTGGGGTTTATTTTACTCAACAGCGGCGCTCTTGTTGCGTTTTTCCTCACCTTTCGCAGAGTTTATTGACATTTTCATCGTTCGCTTTGTGCGGTACTTTCTTCGAGCCTGCGCGCTCTGCCTCTCTTTGTCTTGCTGCCCTCTTCGCTCTCTCTCTCTCTCTCCCGTTCTCTCGGCACTTGCTTTTTTGTTTACAATGGAACTCTCACACACGAACCTCAAACGCACAAAGAATAACCTTCAATTTTATCTTATTGTGCGCTCCAGTCACCCGATATTCTTCTACTGAATTAGCTTTTCATTTGGTTCTGCAGCTTTAAAAATGATTTCATGCTTTTGTGCACTGTTTGTTTCGCGTGTAGAGTACACTCTCCCCTCCCACGCGTAGGCACACACACACACACAAACGGAAACCATCAACGAACGACCTTTGCGGTGCAAGCGAGACGACGCGCCACAAAAACTCTACCGCGGCTCTCCCGCTCTACTGACTGCGAAAAGGTTTCCAATTCCCAATTTTAAATCATTCATTCGCGGATTTTATTACACGTCGTGCAAATTGTCGTCGGGCGGCGCAGAGGCGCGAGCTGGCCAGTCTTTTTCACTCACAGACGATTGCAGAGCAGCGCGAACGTTTTCCATCCGATTCCACGACAGACCCGTCCGCGGTGAAAAAGCTAAATGTTTGTTTTGTTGACAATCCAGGCGAGTTTCAGTGTAGAGAGCGGTGCTCTCAGTAGAGGTGGGTATCAATCGATAGAAGCCGATAGCGCTATCGATTGTGACGATGTGACAATGAAAACGGAACACATGTATATGTTCGCCGGAATTGCTACAATGCGCTAGCAAAAGAATTGAAACGGTGGGATGTGATACAAGAAAGGCTTTTTAAGTATTTCATAAATTCAAACTATTTTTTCTTACACCTACACAACTTCGTGCATCAACCGTTGGTAGACCGAGTGTTGTATAGATCTCAATATAATTTGGCCGTTCTATCTGGAAGAAGTCTTCTATCACTCCGATACATCTGAAGGGTATTAAGCCCCCTATTAAAAAGTCAAGTTTTTCTAAATTGCTTGAAATAAGTCCGGTGTTAAAAACTATAGTTTAGTACATGGTCTCATGGATGCGAAACCCATGAGTTGGTATATCCCATTCATCAGAATCGATTTTCCTCATCCAAAGCTGAAACTCGACAGTAAAAGTTGTCTTGGGGTTTAAAAACGGTCAAAAGTGGTTTTTGAAAAAATAAGCTGTCAAATATAAGTCATATAATATAAAATCATAATAAACTGAAGGATCCTTTAGTTTGGTATATATCATTTGTTGGTCCAAAAATTACTGTTATTAGCTAATAGGAACGCAATTAGAACTGAAAGGACATGAGGGCCAGTTCTTGACCTTTTGGATCAGTATATAGTGGATTCTATTTTAATGGGAGTTCAACATGAAAACCCTAGTAAAAGGATCGATCGCGTTCATGCAATCTTCGGAATTCGAGATAAGAGCGGGGGAATTAGTATAAGTATATTGGTATTTAGTCATTTTGATGGCTATACAGATGCACAAATAAAGACATTAATAGCTGAGCTTGTTCCACCCGCCAAAAAGCTCTAATTTAAGCTCGGCTTAGGTTTTCGGTGGACTCGACTAATTAGAGTCGAAGATGCCGAGATTTGGTATGCCACTGGATTTACATTATTTATTATTAAATTGGGCAATATTCAAAATGATAAATTGCGTTCGAATGATAATTTGAGAGGGTGCATCCATATGGTATTTTATATTTTTAACCATTTTCAGATTAACGAAGGCTTCTTGGCAAACAACAATCGAAGTTTGATATGTTTGCTGTGCATAGGTTGAAGATTTACTTTTTTTTCGTTGGACGTGGTTAGCTAATTGGTTAATTAAGTGAGACCTAGGGCAGAAAGTATCGACAAAGATACATACATTTTTATGCAAGCCCAGCCATTTTGACCACTTCGGTATTTGTTGCTGAGTGAATTTTTTAAATGGCATAATTAAAACGGATTACGCCTCTTCTGCTGTCCATCTGCCCCTTGCTATTCAACAAAAAATAAATAAAAATATCATACCTGATATTGGTAGTTTGAAGTAGGCTAAGCAAATTCGCGATGCCTTATGAATAGACTTCGCCTAAAGAGAAATATGCTTTCAGATGCTGCATTTATGCATTAAAAAATTAACAATATGCAGGGGCTTCGATTAGTTAACACAGCAAAGACAAAACGCAAGTTGGGACGTTTGAAGGTCACATACAGACCACATCTGCTCCGAATTAAATTAAATCGAATTTCTCAACAAATTGAAAGTGTAATTTAATCATTTTGTATTCAATATATATTTGGTAGAGAGGTTTTTTATATATAGATATCGTTATGTTTATTTATTTGTTTATTTATTTTTAAATAGCTTTATGTTCATATTTTCTCAGTTTTATATCGAAGAGTGGGAAAAGTGCCACCTCACGGCTGAGCAAAAAAGACGAAGAGAGCCTCCAAAAGTGAAATTATTGAAATAAATATTGCGCGTAAAATGGCCATCAAACGCCTGCTTTGGTGGTTTACACACGACCTATAGGTTGGACAGCCCTGATTTAATACTCATGTTCCTACCAGCATTTAGGCCTGCGCAGCTTTTTCGGTTTCGTTATTTACAAGCTCACTAAAGTCGAGCTGGATATCCTTGAGCGCTCGGTCGAGCATGTAGTTTTTGGTCATTAGCACCGGCTAATAGCCAAACAAAACCAATTTCCGCTAACTGCAGTGGCGAGCGTAGATCGGTTGACCTTTGACATTAGCCGGTGGAGGCCCTTAAATCGCTGCGTGGCCAGCTGCCCCGCATGCAAATGAGTGTTGGCGTGTCCCGTGGACGCCGACGCTCGTCTGCCTCGGATCGCGCCGGCCTGCCCTATTGACATTGCCAAGCCCATCCACATTTCCACCGAGAGCAATGAGCGATTGCCGGCGGCCAGCCACGATCTTAACCCCTTGCTGGGCACCGTAACCGCGTCCCACTACATTTTAAGATATTACCATTTTCTGATACATCTTAATACCGTTATTAACAAACATAAAGCATAAATATTTTACTACGCTTTCTTCATAGTTTTCTAAATCCCCAGAAAGAAATTGTGGTCCCAATAGGATTTGGTTCTCAAAATAATAGAAATTTGTAACCTGTTTTTATAGGCCTTATAATAAAAAAAATTAAGAAAAACAACTAATAGCAGAGATCCACAACTCAATTAACTTTTAAAACTGATTTTCCATATGATTTCTTGAATATGATTTCTTAGATATGTATCGAAAACTTTCCTGCACAGCTCAGCTTTGATTGAATCCGCTCGCCCAACACCTATCGCAGGGTTAAAGATCTCTGCTCTACTCTCTCGAGACCCTCAGCTAAAACGCGAAGTCGCGAAGACAGGTAAGCAGCTGGCCCAATCTTGGTTCAGACGTGTTGAACCCGGCTTTTCGGTATAAAAGTGCCGGCCCATCTGCAGTTGGTCATCATTCAGCTTCAGCGTCTTGCGACCAGAGCTTACCAAAGCAATCCAACGAACTTTAAAAGCCCAATCAACAAATCAACAACAATGGTGAGTACTCACTCCACTGGGTAGATCGTCGATCGAGATAGCCGCTGACCTTGGTCAACCGCTCACCTTGGCCGTCCGTTAGCACGTCTCGTATCCCGAATGGACACATTGCTCAGTGTTTCCCGGTTTCCTTCTTTCAGAAACTCTTCGTGTTCGCTGTGTGCGCCATTGCCTTGGCCTCCGCCGATGTTTCCCATCTTAACCTGGGCAGTGGTTACAGCTACAACAAACCCACTCCTACCTTTAACATCCCCTCGGCTCCGGCTCCGGCCTACCTTCCTCCCGCCCAGGAGGTGATCTCTGCACCTGCTCCTGTGTACTCCGCACCAGCACCAGCTCCAGCCTACTCCGCACCAGCCCCTGCACCAGTTTACTCCGCCCCTGCCCCAGCACCAGTCTACTCTGCTCCGGCACCTGCTCCTGTCTCGGAGTACTTGCCTCCTGTCCAGGACATCCCGGCCCCAGCTCCAGTCTACTCGGCTCCTGCACCCGCACCTGTTTACTCCGCTCCTGCTCCAGCACCCGTTTACTCTGCTCCTGCTCCAGTTCCAGAGTACCTGCCCCCTGTTCAGGATATCCCGGCTCCAGCACCAGCTCCAGTGTACTCCGCTCCTGCACCAGCTCCTGTCTACTCCGCCCTGCACCAGCTCCTGTCTACTCCGCTCCAGCTCCAGTTCCTGAGTACCTGCCCCCTGTTCAGGATATTCCAGCTCCGGCCCCAGCTCCAGTTTACTCAGCTCCTGCACCCGCTCCTGTTTACTCCGCTCCTGCTCCCGCACCTGTTTACTCCGCTCCTGCTCCCGCACCTGTATACTCCGCTCCTGCTCCTGCTGCAGAGTACCTGCCCCCTGTTCAGGACATCCCAGCCCCAGCACCAGTGTACTCTGCTCCCGCGCCAGCTCCAGTTTACTCGGCTCCTGCACCCGCACCTGTTTACTCTGCCCCAGCCCCAGCTCCCGTGGAGTCAGGCTACCAGTACAACGTGCCCGCCAAGCGTTTCCGCTTCTAAATGGGCTACAGGTGAACCCCAAAGAGCAGCCATTCGCGAAACGACGACTTGTTAAATTAACAAGCGCTGTCACCCATTGTTGTTGAATATTTGTTGTTACGCAAAGTTCCCGTTGAGATTTTAGCTAATAAATAAACATAAAAATTATTAAAATGTAAACACGGCCGCTGTTAATTGCAGATGGATCGAGCGGGCAAAGTGTTGCGCGATCCGCGACTGCTTTTTTATATTTAAATTCGGCGCCATAAAGCCTGGTGAAAGACGAGATCAGCAGATTCGCAGATATACAAAGATGACCTCATATGTAGGCCATAACTGCGTTGGCAAACTTCGTTGGTAGCTTTCATTAAGACCACTCTATATACTTGTAGGTCGATTGTATGAGGAAAATCTCTTTAGAGCTAGAGATTGACCCTTACACTTTGTACTTCAGCTGAGTCCCCGAGTTCAAATTATTTCCCAATATCTCTCCATCCTTAGCTTGTGATTTCCTTTCTTTTGTATGAAGTGTAGCTAAAAATTGTGGCAGGCGGAGGTTTAATTGATCAAACGATTAGCCCAACAAATTTCGTTAAATGTCTTTAATTGGAAATTAATAAAACAGGTGGTTTTTAATACTTGCAACTAATGATAAATAGTTTTATTATGAACATTAGGCTTTCGTCCATCTTTGACTTTAGTATACCATTGCCATACTATATAATGGCAACGTACGTATAATTTCAGAAGTTTGCACTGCATTATCGATTCACTTGCTTATTTAATTAACTCAAACTTTAAATAGTGTACAAGCCTACGCAAACCAGCTTTTCATTGTATTTAGTGTGTATTTATTGACTACATTTATGATCATAGGTTTCTTTTATTTATGTGTAATATTAATGGTATGTATCATATTTAACTTATCCTTACTTGTTAGCCCAAAAATATACAGCTAAATTAGAATACTAGAAGTAGATGCTTGCTTAAGCTAAACATTAAGAGCACGAAAGAGAACCAAGGTAAAGTAAGGGTAAGGTTTAGGGCCAAGAACGACAAATAATCGTCAAGGTTTTTCTGTGGCTTTCAATTATAACAGTACATTAAATTATAACTTAAAAACAAAACAGTTTGCTTTAAATCAATCAATCATACAAATTCACAATTTTGTAATCGATTCAACATTAACTGACCACCAGAGCGGCATAAAGAGTATCCTTGGACACCGTTTAGAGAATTAGAATCAGGTTTTTAGCGTTACTCTTCTGATTTGGATTAAACATAATGCTACTAAAAATAAATTAATGCCAAGATTGCTTTCTAGTCCTTAAATGAAATTTCTATATTATCTCTATAGATCGATCGTTATATACAAAGTCCCTTATGCGCCAGGTGGCGTTTGTTATGTGTCATAATCATCCTGTTGCGAGCTGAAGTAGCTTACCAAGCCACTGAACTCGCCAACGGCGGCAGCTCCCGTTCCCGATGACGGAGCTCGAGTGTCATGGGCCGATCCCGAGTCATCCTCGGCAAGAGCGGCCGGAGAATTTGTTGCTTCTGGCGGAGTCGATACTTCAGCAACTACAGCAATCGGCGATTTTCTGATGGGGTACGCCTCAAGAGTGGTCAGCTTTTTGCCGGTTATCACAGAGGCTACTAATGGCTTGTGGATGCCGGTATCGCTGGTTATTGCAGATGGCGGTGCGGCGGGTGGTGGACCTGAAGACTGCGCCGTAGGTCCTGGCGGCAGAGGCTTTCCATGCGTGAGAGTGGACACTGAGTGGTTCGTTGGCGTGAGTGTCGGCGGAGCACTTACGATCACTGAACTCGGCGCCGCATGAGCAGGTGGTGTGGTCAACGGCGGAGGCGGGGGATAGTAACCATAAGGGGAATACCCACCTGCAAAATATTAAGTTATGAAATGCTATTACTAAGATGGATTTTCAGTAAATAAACGGGAAAAGGTCTGTAAGTTGGGCAGTCTACTTTAGTTAATAATTTTACTAATACATTTATTCGTATTTAGTAGCGAACTCACTTTCTTTTCGATTGAGATTTAGTTTAGCCAAAATACTAATTAAATGTAAGCGAAAACAAGTTAGGGATTAATAATTCTTACGTGGTCCGGCCGCATAGTCAACAGATCCAGGACGCAATGCTCCAGATCCTGGTGGTCCACCGACGCGAGGCGAATAATTGGGATTACCATAAATTGGCGGGGCTCTGTAATAAATCCGGATTAGAAATGTTTCTAGCGTAAATAAATGTGGCCTACCTGTAAGGATTCAAGTGAGGCGATGCATGTCTCGCTGGCGGTGGTCCGGAGCCAAAGACACCTCCCATTGGAGGGCCAGAAGGGCCCCCGTGATGATCCGCTCCGTGAAGGTAAGGCGGCCTTGAATTGGACGGAACACCGCTTGTCGTGGATGTGGATGGTACAGACCCGCGAAGTGGAGGCGGTGGTCCATATGTAGGTCGCAAGGATGCGTGGGGTGGAGGCAGACCTGGCGGCAGTTGCGGTCGCAACAAGTGTCTAGGAGGTCCCGAAGATGATGAGGGAGAACGGCAGCCAGTGACGGCGGAGCTAGGCTGCTGGCCAGCTACTTGACCATAAAATCGAGCCAACTCCGCGCTACTTGGGTACATTCCACCGGGCGGGCCGTGACTTCGTCCATGGGGCAGGTGCGCCGGCATTCGCGTAATCACAGAAGTTTGCGGAGTGGGAGCATCCTCATGCGGCTTAAAGAGCGGCGGACCTTTGGCCTTTTCCGGAGGAGCTGGTACCGGAGTTGATGTCGAAGTAGCTGCCGTAACAGCCGCCGCTGTTTGTTGCTTCTGCAACTGATCCCTAAGGGGTGTAACCTTTTTTCGTCTACCTCTTGGTTTGGAATCAGTTGCTGGGTTCCCTGCAGCTTTGTCGGGTGGACGAATAGAGGCTGCCGATTGTATTAGATGAGCAGCTGCCGCTGCAGCCGATGGCATGGACATGACCAAAGGCAGGTGTTGTCCAGATCCGGGGCCGGCAGCATAATTAGCACAACCCAACGGCTGACCAAGGGGAGCAGAGAGCGCGTTTTGCAGTAGGTGCATGGCCTGAGGTGGGGGGACAGTCTGCGACAGATGACGCTGTAGCATGGGATGCATACTGTGAGGTGGATGGGGAGGAAGCAGTGATGAGGGGGGATGGGTCTGGCCGGCCGAGAGGGGAAACTGATGGCGCAAAAGCGGCGGATGGATGGTGGGCATGGGAAGACGTTTTCGGTGTGGCTCCTGCAAGCCTGATGCACTAGGAGATGGATTTGTAGATTGAGTCTCAGGCGTAGCCTTGCTGGTTTGCTTGGACTTGGAAGGCGTAGTGCGCAGGACCTCCTCTGCTCCAGGCAACTCTCGAGCTGCGACCGCCGCACTGAACTGTTCTTCCTCCTCTACCATTCGTGCGATAGCGTCCTCCATATCCTCGGGCAAATCGTCAGGCAGCTCAGCATCGTCTAGCTCGGACTCGTCCACGTCGTCTAGATCGCCAATTGTCTCTCCCTTCCGTTGCAGGTAATCGATGTCCAGCACCTTGGCCTGCCGAATAACTGAGAGCGGCACTGTGGAAAGCGAATCACCTCCTGCTGCCTTGCCTGGTGTGCGCTTTTCCGGCGCAGTAGCTCCCGATTTTATAGGTGTAAGACGTGGTGTAGCCGCCAGCTTAGCGCCTTCAGAATTCTTCTCTGCCAGCATACGCTTGATCTCCTCCTGCCGCTGAATGAATTTTTGACGCTCCTCGGGCGGCGTGTCAGGTCGATGAACGCCAGGCTTGATCCCGCCATCCGAGCTGTCGTCGTCTACATCAAGGATAAAAAATACAAAAATTAGATTTCTAACCACTTTAGGGATATCTCTTTTCCTGAAAAATTTCGAACAAGCATAAAGTTTGTACTTACCGTCCTCTATATAGGCGTATCGTCGTCCTCGAGTCCGAGTGCGATCGTCAGATGCGGCACCGTCCTCTTCGTCGGAGGACACTGTTTTTTTCTTTTTTGCCTTGCCTTTTCCTTTTCCTTTGCCCGACTGCGTGGCGGATCCACTTGATTTGAGAGGTTGGGAGCGAGGCTGCTTTCCGGAGCCTTTGCCCGATAAGGGCGCGCCCCCTTCGTCTTCCTCATCCTCATCCTCCTCCTCTCCCAAGTCGCTCTCGCTGATATCATCATCTGAGTACTCCAGGCGCTTTACCTTCTTTGCAGCCTGGGTGGCTAGCTTCTTTAATTTGGGAGATTTCCTGGCGATGCCCGCCCCCGAACACGACTTCTTTACCGCAGCAGCCTTTTTCTTTTTGGAAGAAGGGTTCCAGGCACCATCTTCACTCTCGGAAGTGGTGTCGTCGCACAAATCGGCACTGTCAACATTTTCAGATAACTCATTATCGTCGTCATCTTCGGTTTCTGTTTCCGTGTAGTCCGAATCCTCCTTCTTCTTCTTTTTTGACTTTGTGGTTCGCCGTTTCTGTTCCTCTTCTTCACTTTCGTCGCTCTCTTCCACCACAAACTTTCGATCCTTCCGCCTTTCACGTGCAGCTCTCCTGGCAGCCTTTCTCTGCTTTTTCCCTCGGCCAGGTCGTCTATACACCTCCAAACTAGAGTCTGAGTCACCGGATCCGGACTGTGAAGTATCTTCATCCGAGTAACTGGAAGTTTTGAAATCCTCATCGCTGCCGTGATCTTCCTCGCTACTAACATCCAAGGTTGTTAGTTTTCGAGGCTTTTTCTTGGCAGGAGGTTGCTTGAACTTGTTGCTACGTTTGAGGGGTACCTCGTCTTCCGACGAAGACGGGCTACTCCCGCTGGACTTGGCCTTCCCTTTATCATTCTTATCGGTTTTCTTTTCGTGTGCCTCTCCTTCCGCAGGGAGATCTTCACGCCGTGCCTTCTCCTTGTCCGCTTCAATTATAGTGGATATGTCCTTGCCACGGCCAAGATTTCCAGCTCCGGCTACCTCGTCCATCTCCTTTTTTAATGCCGAATTGATAAGGTCGTCATACTCATTAAGCCGATAGCTCACATTGATCTGGCGACGCTTACGCAATTTGTATATGGGTTCATCGTCGGAATCCGAGAAGCTGCTGCTATCGTCACTGCTTGAGCGGGATCCAGATCCAGACCCGGATCTAGAACCACTACCAACGGATTTCCCGTTACTGGAGTCGGACTCGTTACCTCGGCGGCGCCTAGTGCCCCGCTTGGCAGCACGTCTGTTACTGCGCCCATCTCCCCGACGTCTCTTAACCTTTTCAGCCTTTTTGACCACTTCATTGTCGTTTTCGTCATCATCCTCTTCCTTTTCTCCGTTGGAATAATCGTCCTTCGCCGCCAGTGTGGCTGCCTCCTGCTCCTGCCGCTCACGTTCAGCCTGTTCCTGAGCCAAGATTCGTTCCTGTTGCTTCTGGGCTACTAATGTGTCAAACTGCTGCAGTTGACGCTCCAGCGCACTTATGAGCTGCTCCTGCTGACAGGGAGGGCAGTGCCAGTCGCCTTCGGGAATATAGAAGAGCACTGGCGAAAGGCAGGAGCAGTGGTAGCCTTTGTTGCATGCGGGAGTGTCACAGAGCAGAATCCACTCGGGGTGGTCAGACTTACCGCATTTCTGACACGCCTCTTCCGCATCCTCCTGTTAATGAAATGAGTTTACAACTTTACTCTTAATTCGATAACTAATTAAGTAAAAATGTAAATATAAACGGCTATAGTAATTAAATCAGTTATATATCAAAATTTTATAGATTGGTACGGTTGGTCTACAATAGGATTCTTACCTCCTCGAGTTCATCGGCGTTTTCCTTGCGAACGGTGCGTGCCCGCTTCATCGGCACAACCTGGGACTCATCTTCAAGCTCGGATTCTGGTGAAAATTCGTGGTCGGAGCGGAAGAGTGGCGAACCAGGATCTGTTTCGTAGTGCGGTGGTTCCTCTTCCTCCTCCTCGCTTTCCTGCTGTTCTTCTGAGTCAGACGACCAGCCATCCTTGCCAGGACACTTTTTTTTCTTCTTGTTTCTGGCCTCCTCCTCCGCCTCGCTGGCCTCCGTCTCAGATTCCTCTCCCGAGGGCTCCAACACTGTAGGATCTGCTTCCTTCTCGGCCTTCTTTTTCTTCTTAAGTTCTTGCTTCATGCTTCGCAGGGCCACCTCCTCTTGCTTGCGGCGTTCCGCTTCTTCTTTGATCTTCTGCTGGGCAATACGCCGAGATTGGCGGACTGGAGTCTCAGAGTCGTTGGTCTCAATGATATTGGTGGTATCCACCTCTCGCTTTTTTCGCGGGCCTCGACCCCGTCCCACCTTAGGCTTTGACTCCTCTTTAGGGTCTTCCTTGATTTCCACTTCCTCTGGTTTCTTTTCTTTCGCTAGTTTTTCCCCTACTGGATCCTCTTTGACTTCTGGTTTGAGTTCGGTAGTAGCTTCCTCATCATCAGCAGATTCCTGGTTCACCTCAGCCTTTACCTCTGTCGCCGTTATATCTTTGGCGATACCACGCGTCCTTTTTGGCTGAGGTAGCTCGGAGTGAACGACAGCAGCCCCACCTCGACGACCAGAACGACGACCACCCTCCAATGGAGGCGATTGGTCTTTTACAGATAACGACTCCTTTACAGGCAATGCAAGTGGATCTTTAACCTCCTCCTCGATATCCACTTCGTTGTTGCGCTTTAACTTCTCACTAACGGCGGAAATTGGAGGTTCACAGGGAGAGGATTCTTTAGAAAAGGACTCCTTGGTGTCTTCGCTGCTTCGGCGCTTCCGATGACGTTCCTCTGGGTGACCAAGAGTAGGATTGGGTGCTGAAAGGGCAGGTACAATGGTCTCACTATTTGTTCGTTTTCTGGGGATAGCCTCCTCTTCACTTTCCTCCTGCCGCAGTTGAGTCAGGAGATTTTTCTTTAGCGGCTTAGTTACCGGCGATTTCTTTGGCGGACTAAAGGAACTGGTTGATGGTGTTGTTTCTCCAACTGTTTGAAGCGTCTTCTCGACGATCTTTTCAGTCGGTTTATCTAGCATGTCCTTCTCTTGAAGGTCCCTCTCCATTGTTTTCTTTAACTTCTTTTCAATAATTTCCTCCAAAGTAGGTTTTTGTTTAGGGTTAGGGGCAACAATCTTTCGCCGGCTGCGCGTATCCTCCTCTCCGCTGGACGATGTTGTTTCCTCTATCAGGGTCTTTTGCGCCTCCACCTTACGTCTGGCCTCTATGTTAGAGGTCTTCGGTCTCATTTTAATGCGCTTGCCCCCCACATCTATATCATCCAGTGCCGGATCGTCATTCTGCGGCTCCTCCTCCTGCACTTCGCTTTCAGAGGTAGAATTCCTAAGAGCGGGCTGAGAGTCATTAAGACGCCTCTTGCGGTTTAAAAGCGAAGAAGGTTTAGGTAATGAACAGGTCTTTTCGCTTAGGTTTGGTTCAACATCCGGCCTAGACTTAACAATACCCACGTTGCAGTTTTCATTATCTTTGGACAACAGGTTTTTGGAAGGGCTTGGAACTTCGTCTTGTATATTTTCCTTTAACCTGTCTTCTGCAGAACAGTTCTTGATTTCAAGAATTGTGGTCGGATCATTATTAGATCGTTCCTTGGGAGGATCAGAGGCTTGGTTCTCACTTGAAAGTGTTTTTTCAACACTTTCAAAGCATCTTTCAACCTCTTCTGGCTTTTCTTTTGTTTCATGGCTTTTACAAATTTCAATTTCTCCTACATTGGGCTTTTTTAATGATTTCAAATTAGCTGATTTAATTTGCGCTTCCGTTCCAAGTGTACCTTCCGTCGTTTCCTTAGCCCATGTACCCGATTCCGACGCAGGTTTTGTTATCGCATCGTTTTGGTTCAGTTTATTGGCTTCAGCTTCATTTGAAACATTGTCATTATGTACCGTCTCGTAATCTCTATTCGAAATATCTTGGACAGTTTGCAACGGCTCTTCCTTTTGGGAAGATTCGTTTTCAGGTTTTAGGGGACCATTTTCCTTGACGATTTCTTCTTTGATGTTTTCTGGGTCCTGGTTCTTAATTTGTTGTACGACTAACATATCTTTTTTAATATTCGGTATTCCATCTTTTATTTCTTCATTCTGTTCTTGTCCTTTGCAGATTGCCTCCTTTTCTTCGATCACCTTTACTTTGAATTCCTGCTCCGTTTTAGCCGTTGTGCCGGATTTCTTCACTTCGGAATGTTCTTCTGAGATTTCATTTTTGATAGCTTCTAGGTTTTTGTTAGTCTCCTTGGTTGTGGGCGCTGTTGCAGCTTCGCAATGTGCTGGAGGGTCATCGTTGCCATTTCTCGGCGGAGTTCTTTCCCTGCACTTTTCGCTCTCTCCATTGATTTTCTCGTCGCTTAAGCTGTCGAAAATACTGCGCTTTGCTTCCGGTTTTGGTGTTTGCTTCATGGGACTCAGCTTGAGACATCCTGGCTCGCCAAAGAAAAAGGTGGCCTTAGGCTCTGGTAAGTCTTTGGTTGTCTCCTCAACGTGAGCTTCGTTTTTTCCATTCCCCACAAGACATTCTGCGCCCCATCCTTCTCCCATCACATGAAGGACAGGATCTAAAATGCTTTCACTGATCTCTAGTTCATTCTCGTAACCGATGTGGCCCAGATAACCACCCATAAAATGGTGAGGAAGGGCCTCACAGTCGCGTCCGGACCCTTGGCCCCGAACGACTATTGTTGGATCATCGATGGATTCACTAACTTCTTCCTCTTCATCGTCTTCTTCAATATCCGCGGCCGCACTGTCGATATCCTCCTCCTCCTCTTCGCCCTCGTCCAGCTCAGAATCCTCATCGTCCTCTTCCTCCTCCTCTTCTTCTCCAGAGTCTCCTTCATTTTCTTCCTTGGTGCTTTCGTAGCGACTCGGCTTCTTGATGCGTTTGACATCCAGCAGTGTAGGCCGGTGTTTCTTCTGCTGCTCATCCTGGGATACTGTGGGGCTACTGTCCACGTCTTCAATGGAACGCTTTTTGGCTGGAGCTGGCGAAGAGCTGCCCCCTAGCTTCGCCTGGCTGATGAGCAATGGCTGTAAAAGCAATAATTCGGAGCTAAGTCGAATGCTCTTTAGATTTTTCATACGCACCTTGACTTTTTTTGACTTTTGTTCCTCCAGTTCGGGAGAGCGCAGTTTAATCTTAAGATTGGGCACAGTTTTACCAGACTCCTCTTCTTCCTCCTCATCCTCTTCTTCCCTTTCCTCGGGAGGCGGAGGTTTGGCAGGACAACTGTTGCTACTGCTGGTGTCTTCGTCAGCCTCGCCAATGTCCTTAGAGGGCAGCACCACTTCGTTTCCCTTAAGCCTGGCAATGAGGTTGACAAATTCTTCCCGATTCGTGGCCACCACCTGCCAAATTTCCTCATCCAGATGCTCCTGGTAGATACGCAGGTTGCAGTCGGCATCCTGCGTCAGCCAGTAGGTGTGCCCCAACCGATCCCGCCCAATCGGATCCGAGCGTAGAGTGTCTGCATTTAAGGTAAGGATGTGGGCCCGAAACTTGGCATTGCGCTCGAACTGACTTTCGAGGAGTTCCTATAGAAGTTTATTATTTAGCAGTCTTAGCCAATGGCATGAATATAGCCCCTTACCCGAAATATTCGTAGCTTGACCTTTAGGCTAGAGTTTTTATATCCGAAACGTTCGATCTCCCAGGCATCTTGCACAGAATAACCGAAGCAGAACTTGCTAAGGGCCGACTCCCAGCTCTTCTCGTGGACCGTCTTGCGCGTTTTCCGGAGCAGCTTAATGTGCAAGTCCCTCAGTTCGGGAACTGCAACGATGACCAGTAATTGTATATATTTAATGGAAGGATCTTCTCTTTTTAAAAATTTTTCGAAACTAAAAACTATCGAAACATATTTTACAGTAACTTTCGAAATCATTGGAAGTCAAAAATTAACTTTATTATTCCAAAAATTAATTTAATTTTGAACACATACATTTTAAAAAAGATAGAGCTAAGCTAATAGCAAAAATTTCCGAAAAACACCAATGTTTTGAAAATATTTACATCTCTCTTAGATTTGTTTTTGTTTATTGCACTTGTCTTGAGAGGAAAACAAAATAGGCTCTTAAAAAACACTCTCTCTTTTCTTAGTCACTCTCTTTCTGGCACAATAGGCATTTTCTCATCAAGGCCAGCTAAGAGTATAGGCAAAACACTGCAGTTGACTAATTCAAAAACAGTATTTTCAGTTTCCCCGTTGCTTATCACACAATAATTGACCAAGGAATAACTTTATTTGGCTGGACAAAACCTCTTTGCACTTTGCACACTCACTCACACCTACCCGAACTCTCACTCACCTTCGTTGTTGTTTGTCAACCACTCCTGCAAATGCTTGAAATTCGGCAGGCTGAGGCCCAAGTCCTTCGCGAACTTCTGAAGGAAGGCACAAATCACCGCAAAGTCTGGATCGTTGGCGCACGTGTGCAGCGTGGAGGTAAGGGCGTCGTCGTCCTTGCATTCCTCCGATATTGTCTCCGCCGGAATCGGATTCGGGAGCGGATTGCTGGTCGCCGCAGCCGCAGCTGAGGACGCCGCCATTTTTCATGCGTCCCCGAGAAAGAGTGAAAATTCGTAGGTTGTATACTACTCTGTCAAAACCATACAATTGGCACTGAAATCGCAAGGCATTTGTCTGAAGCTCAAGCTTTTTTGTTGCACGGCACTGGGGGGAGTCGATATTTCATATTTATGGCCGCGAGAATGCGCTATTACGGGCTTAAATCGTACTTTATGTCGAACGAAAAGGTTTTATTTTCTATTTTGAGTTTCAGTGTGGACGCGTCCCCGCTTTACGAGAATACAGCAGACAGAAACTACACTTGAAGCGAGTTGGCAGCTTGGACGTTGATGGAACCAGTTCCTAGTATACATCGAAGATATGCGAACTATTTTCAGTATCTTTTCTGTTTTCAAATTATATAGTCGGATCTCACTGATTTTTATTCTCTTTGAACCCAAGATAAAATTATTTTGCCTCTGGATAAAAAAAAAGTTATCAAAAGGTATATTAAATTATATAACATCAAGAGATTATATTAACAACTACATAATATAAAAAGTTTTTGTGGTGTTTGGATCCAATATCTACATTTTTCTTGTAGGAAGAAATTACTTTACTAAATTGATAAATTTGAGATGACAATGCAATTATATCTTCAAGCATAAATAAACCTAACTATGTTACTATATTATCATAAATGTTCTTTTTCATATTTCACATTTTTTATAGTTTTCAGATAACTTGTAATGAAAAATTCCTAATTAGAAATATTATATGAATTGAACGCACAAGTATACACTATACAAATTATGGCTACGAAATGATACAATGAATACGAAAATTAAAAGTATTTCTTATAATGTACATAGGAGAGGGGCTCAATTATCTGTTACATCAAATTTTTTCGTATGTATTACTTTTTAACGGTATATTCGGTATTTTTGAAAATAGAACTAGTTCAGTTTGTGCTCACCAGTTCCAGAGCGAACGATATATGTGTGTGTAGGGGGAATTTGTTGATAGATAGAACGAGAAAAACAGTCGCAGCAAAACAACAAAGACGACACAAACAAATCGAAATTAAATTGTTCGAAATCAAATCAAATCAATCCGCACTGATCATCTGTCTGCAAAGATTTCAGTTTTTTGTGTGCTCCAACGGTGGACCACAGCAATAACATACTGCGAAAAGTACGAAAATATCTAGAAGCCAGTGAAAGTGTAACGAGATAATCAGATACAATCAGCAAATCTCCAGCAGCAATGGCCACATATCAAATGAACTTCAACCAGGACTTTACGTAAGTAGCAAATCCTTGGTTCCAAGCAAGGAAGGTCACTAAAGTGCAAAAAGTGGCTAAACCACGGCTAGCAATTGAGATACAAAAATCGACAAATGAGACGGGTAAACAAGGCGAAAACAGCTGCTGTGGGGAGGTGGACGGGGTAACCGTTAGTCAAGTGTTAGTGTGTCTGTAGGTGAGCGTGGATTGGCGTCATTTGCTCGTGTGTATGTAGTTTATTAGGACATGCAAACGAGCAGTTCCAATTACAATGACATGCACTCATCTATTCGAAACGACGTTCCTAGAAACAAGTTCCTTCGGGATGGGTTAACATGCTGAATAAGGTACACTGTCTAACAAGATTTATCGCAGCATTGCGAATTCGATGGCCAGTGTACGCGGCACCAACACACGGACAGTCTTGTGTTTTATGCGCAACAGCTGATATCGCTTTACTATGTAAGTGAAGCTGCCTTTATAAATGCAGTGATCACCTGCTACGGTGGGGCAATGAGCACATACATACGTACATAGGTGATTAGGTGTTCTCTATTTTGGGAGAGCACCGTATCCAAAAGCATAGCCTATATTCTCAAGCTTAACCAGTTTCGCTCTTGTACGATTGTGTTTGTTTTATGTCAGCTGATGTCATTGGGTTAGGAAATAAACAGGAGAAAAAAAGCAAGTCTCCAAGTCTCCCGCGTTCTAAAAAGCAAAAGCCAATGAATATGACTACACAAATATGGCAAAAATGGAATTGCAGTGAACTTGGCAGCTGATCGAACCGCGTCATAGGCAAAAAGAGAACAAAGAAGATCGAATAGAGAGGAAAAAACGGAAAGCATTCGGAGAGGGCGGGGCGGAGAAATTCTAATCAGAAACAAATCAATTAGCCACCGCAGGTGAATGGACGCAAGAGGGTAAAACAAAAAACAGTTCTATATTATCATTCGGGGCACTTCCTTTGATAAGTACTCAGGGCCCAAACGTTGATCAGCCTTTCAAGGAGAATTTGGTATATACTAAATGCATTGATGATCAATTTATTATATATTGTACAACCTTTGGATGTTTTTTTAGTTTATCTGCAATACGCAAGATTTTTAATCGATCTCGTTTATTCAATAAAAAGGTAATCATAAACACGTTAGTTCACAGTATTTTATATTATTATACAAATTCGTACCTGAATAATTTACAAAAATATCACTTTTTGGGTTGAAAACATCCAATACTAATACAATACTAACCATCGAAATTACTTGATTTGAGTATATTGCCAAGTATAGTTTTAGTAGAAAACTTTTAAAATGAAAAATTTAAATAGGTCATGAACTCATGGTGACCTTGGTAAATTACGTGAGCCTTAAGTTAACCTTTATCTTTTCCAAGTTATTAGCTTACTCAGCAGGTTTATTTTAACTCTACTTTCTCGATGTGATATGAATGATTTTGTGAGAGTCACCATTGTCTTTCGGTTTGCTGTTATTTATTTGATAACCTACAGTCGTAATTTCTTAATGCAAACGACCGCAAATGCACTCCTGACTGGTGTGTAAATTTATTTTCGATGCCCCTTGTAAAAAGAAATGCAAACGTGTGCGTTTATTTTTTCTTAATCACTGCGTTTGTTTACCAACAACGCAAAAACAAAAACAACTTCAAACGACCAACAAACAAAGAGACCTCAACGCGCTATCGCATAACCTTGGGCCCCATTTTAGCGATGTTACGCCTTTGGCGGGAACTAGTTTCGGTTTCAAGAGAACAAATAGCAAAGTCAGAAAGAGACACAACAACAGCACGTGTTGCGCTCGCACATGAGACTGTTGTGAAAAGCTTATCTCTTTGAGCGTGCTTTCAAGCCAACTATAAATATGTGCCAAAAATCGAACCAATAATATGCAGAAAAACTTTGGGAAGAGTGAAAATCGGGTTTTAAATGTGGCGCTCAAAAGTACGACCCACCAAAATCCAAACAACTTAAAAGAATTTCAAACATCTGGCAGCGCTCTAAGGTACTCGAATATGGGCACACTCAATGATACGGCATCGCTGACATTGAAAAGGCGAGAATTAAACGATAATTGATTGCAGTTTGCAATTAGAGTGAGAGAGTGCATGGGTAAAAATCAATACGAGGAACAACAGCAGCGATGGAGCAGCGCGCCAACTTCCTGGCTCTGACCCTTCTGGATGCTCTGGAGGATGAGAACGAGGCGGACATCTTGTCGATGCTGGAGCGAAATAGCGTAAACGCCAGTATCGTGCCCTGCGATCGTGGACTGTCTCCCTTGCACTATGTGTGCGGCATGCGGAACGGTGACCTGGCCCAGAGGATCCTCGAGCGGTTCCTAGAGTGCCCCGATCTCGACGTGGACGCCCTGTGCGATGGCCAGACCACTGCTCTACATATAGCCAGCATTTACGGCCGGGTAGAACTGGTGAGGATGCTTCTGGAGCGCGGCGCTCGCGCTGATCTGGCCGACGAGGAGAACAAGCTGCCGGTGCACTACGCCATCGAGGAATGCCACTTCGAGGTCCTGCAGCTTCTACGGGATCACATCTTTCGGGAGCGGCAGCGCCAGAAAAAACAAAAGCAGCGAGTTCAGGTTGTCGACGCTCTAACTCCGAATCAGCAGAGGTACAACCATGATGTTACTTCCCCCTACTATATCAATATCACCCACAGGCGGCATAAGCCGCAGCCAAAGTTTCCGGATCTGCCGCAATTCCAAAGCGCCGATATTCCCCCTTTGCCAGAAGAGGAGTCTGTGAATCTGTTCGCCTTGACTGAAGCCCATCTCACGCAGCTCATCCAGAGCCAAAAGGAAAATCAATCGGAGGATGCCAATCAGCCAAAGCGGCGCACGCTAATCGAAAGCTGGCGCGAGAAGGTGGAACGCTCTCGCGCCCGTCAGTCCCTACTTCATCAGTACGATGAGCATGTAGAGTCGTTGGTAGATGAGGCACTCGGTCAGGAAGACTTCAGCTACGAGCAGCACCTACAACATCAGTTGAGAGCCGAGGACAATAAGAATGATCAGGCAGGGGATGTGCCCTGCACTGGCCGCCAAGTATTCGAGTTGCTGGTGGAGCAGGTCTCCCAAGCGGTAGTCGTTGAGCCGGAACCAGAGCACAGTTTCTTCACAGCACAGGGTGAGGAAGAAAGCGCGTCGGAAAATTCTCCGCGCCGGGATGAGTACTTCCTTCAGATCAAAGAGGCCTATGTTCACACTGACGACGAGAACGGCTTAGTTTTTTATGAGGCTAAGTTCCTACAAAACAGCGAGGGGAGGGAGCCCGCGGAAGCTCCTCCCAAAGAAAGGAAGCCCGATCTGGACAGCACAGTGAGCACAAATCATACGCTCCCACTTGATTATGAAACTGATGCCCTGCGCCGGGAGCTTACCCAAATGGGTGCTCCAGTGGGTCCCATTACAAAGACAACTAAGCGGCTGTACATAAAGCAGCTAATAAAGTACAAGCGAAATACAGAGGCTTTGCAGGCTGCCCAGAAGCACGCCCAAGAGGCTCAGATCCGGTACTCCGTGGAGCTGCATCGTACTCTCCGGTCGCCTGATGATTTTGCCAGGATCAGCCAGTATTTGCCCCACGAGGCATCGTCGGCCGCACATTTTGCTAAATGTGGTGTTCACAAAAAAAACCTGCGTGAAGGCCATCTTAAACAGAGCTTCCTCTACATGTTGATCGATCCCCGCATCTCACGAAACCTTCCCGGGGAGAGCGCTTTCCTCGAAAAGTTTGAGGTGTGGCAGCGTTTTCTTGACTCCATTTTTTACGTGGGCAAGGGCAAGTCCTCACGCCCTTACGCCCATCTCTACGATGCCATGCGCCAGCATACACGGCTTCATCAGAAGCGGGAGAAGGAAAAGCCACACAGGGAACGCGGTGGAGGATTTCGAACACTACAGCCAGATGTTTTCCGCTCCCCTCCACCAGCAGAAGGCAAGATGGGAAGCCGGAAACTGGAGCGCATCTTGGACATTTGGCAACATGGCAGCGGAGTCGTATGTCTGCACGTATTTCACAATATCTTGCCTATAGATGCGTACACCCGTGAGGCTTCCATTATAGATGCCTTCGGTCTAACACACCTGACCAACCTGAAGCGTGGAGATTACTACGGCCCCGCCCAATCATGGACGATGAAACAGAAGAAGCAGCTGGGCATAGCACTGCTTCTCAAGGCCATGCACATTTATCTGGCGGAGGGAGAGTCACAGCTGTCGCCTAGCGACCTTCTCTGAAAAAGTAACTAAATGGGAATCGAACAGGATGGAATACAACCTCGCAATTAGCACCAAGTACAAAGTGCAGCGGCGCAATTTATATATGTTCAAAGCTTGATCTCAAGATTGTTTATAGTTAAAAATTGGAATAGGGATAGAGAGATAGGATAAAAAAGCAAAATTGGTTATAAAATAATTGTTCGGTTCAAATCGAAGCATGAAAATATTACGGTACCATTTTAAAAGTTTACGGGACAAGCTCCTTGAATCTTTTGAATCGCTTTTCGGAGGGTAGTCTTAAGAATTCAGCATGCAGATTCGTTTCAAGTAATAAATGTTTACCATTCGAACTGCTGATTGTATGTACATATATTGGGCATGCATGTCTCGTAATCTGAAAATTGGTTATAAACCTTTAAGCCACTTTCTCGGCAGTGCCGTCTGTATAATATGCTTTAGTGCATGGCTTTATCATCAGATGGCTAGAAATAATAATATATTTATTTCCGATTTATTTATTAGTCGAGAGAACTCGAGAATTTTCTAAAAGTTGATAAGTGACTTACGCACTGAAATAAGTGTAAATTTTCCAATCAAATATTCTGAAAATTCTCTTTGCTTCATCTTCATATCTTAAGCCTATAAGGCAATCATTTTTATTTTCTCGTTTCGAAAGTTATAAAACCGTTCGTATGTACTTGGTAGTGAGAGCTCATCAAGTGGTTGGTTGCATTCCGTTCTATGTTGCCTAATTAAAAAAGTATAATAAACATACATATGTAAATGTACATACATATGTATGTAATATCCAAAAAAGGGAACGTATATCGCCCATTTTGCTTGCCTAATGTCTACTGTTGTCCGATGCTCTTGTCAATTAGGAAACGAGGAAACCACCCTCGAAAATCATCCCCGAACATCAATGCATCAGCTAGCACTTCAGCACAGCTGGAATCATAACACAAGCACGACGGGAGCCTAAAAGCATGCTGCACGTTTTGACCGGCTGCAAATTCGTTGCTTGTGATGTTTTGCGTGCGTGTGCGCATATAATTCCCAACTGTTTCTAACAGCGCCGGAATGGAGTAGAGGTCGGCCGGCAGTGGAAGGTTATCTTTGCGCAGTGGCAATACCGTAACCGATGAAGTTCTACTGAGGTGCGGTTATTGCTAGTTGAAAACTTTAACCAATACCCCGCCATGGGGACGTGAAATACCGTCCACTACGGCAATTTTTGGAAGCCCGAGAGGGCTAATTGAATAATAAATTATGCATTGTAGAAACATAAGTAGGCTAACACTTTAGAGGTGGAAAAACATCGATGTTCACGGACATTTTGGCGAAAACATCGATGTTCTAAATAGAAAAAGTGTGGAGTTATTTTAAAATATTTGAACTTTATTTTAATGTGTAATGTTTAAAAATTAAAAGTCAAATTTTTAACAAAAAAATCCAATTTATTAATTACTTATTAAATAAAAACGAAAAGAAAAGCAAATTAAAATAAAACTGTTCATGATATTCATGTTCCACTTCTTTGGTATATTGTCCTATTCTTAGTTTGTAAATAAAAACAAAAAAAAAAACAAATTTTATATCAATGTTTCTTCAATATATACATGGTCCAAAGAAACTAATAGTTCTTTTGGATATTGTGATATCCCTACTATACTTACTATCCCGAACTGTACTATACATATATGTATATTTGTTTTTGTTTAAAAAGAGGAGCTTATCGACATCGGTCGATGATAGCCGTGTACGACGTTCATTTATAAGTTGTCCAGTTTTACTGAAAACTCTTTCAGATTCGAACGAAGATGCCGGATCGCAGAAGTATTATTAAGCTAACTTTTTAAAAGCGTCGCCATTTAATTAAGTGATATACAGTGGATCCAAGCTTATTTCGTGCAAGAAAAAATCGAATTTTTAATTTGATACTGCTACTAAACCAGCAGAGATATCAAAAAAATTTAATCGCAGTAATGTTAAGAATGTCGCATATTATCAAAATAATAACAAAAGTTTCACTAATTTAAAAAACAAAAGAATTTTCATACAAAAACTAAAAAAAGGCAACCCGACAAAGCTATTTCGTGCAGGCACTTAACGGTTAATAACTCTAAACTAGGTCTTTTAAATCCATTTTTTCTTAATACTAGTAAAAATATATTAACAAAAGCATATTTATAAGTTAGGCGGGTGCACCCAAAATACGGATTAACGAGGATTCAAACTATGGCGCCACAATATTAGTCAATAGTTATTGAGCAAAGCGTATTAGTCCTTAAACATTTAAGGATGGGAAACCCAGGAGTGGTTGCCTCAAGCCCTAGTACAAACCCATACATAACCCAAACGCTTTTTGCGAAAATCGGGTGGCAGAAAGGGGCGGTAATGCACCGAACAAAATTTTTAATGACCAGGAGGAGAGACGTATTGTCCCAAAAGTGAAGGAAAAGCACAAGGTATCGGGTTCTAAAATAGTAGCGGAGATTGAGAACGAAATGGGCAAAAAATGTTGCCCAGGTACAGTTCGGAACATTTTACAGAACCATAACTTTAATGGTCGAGTTCTAGAAAAAAGCCCTTTATAAGTGCAAAAATAAGTTGGCGCGCGTCAAATTCGCCAGTCCGATTTTGGTCAGGAATGACGTTATAATTGTGCACGAATCTAAATGTAATATATTTGGGTCCCATGGAAGGAAATTTGTTTGGCGGAGTCCCAATACAGAGCTACATTCAAAAAACAAAAAAGCAGCGGCTAAGCACGGTGGTGGTCATGCTATAGTTTGGGCATGTATGACTGTGTCCGCCGTCGGAAATTTGGTTTTTATTAACGGAATCATGGATGCCAATAAATATTTAACCATTTTGAAAGAAAATTTGGTGCAAAGCTTGGGGTATGTATGTACTTACAATCTTCCTCAAAGTGCCTTAGAAATGGAAAAACATCGATATCCGGTAAATATCGATGTTGCCGATGTTTCGAAACTTCTTACTTGGTTTTATAACTGCCTATTTTTATGAAAACTTAAATGTCCTGATTATTAGCCCTTGTTAAAATGTATTTTAAACTCATTTGCTTTTAATTTAGCAACGGTTTTAAAGATTTAAATACTTCAAATTTGTTTAAAATAGATTTTCGAAGATTGAAAAATCGAAAAGGGCTCACAAGTAAATTAACCTTATGTGCGTTTTATGCTTCCCGGCAGGTCCCTGTCCGTACTAAGTCCCACGGGACTTCGGCTGTACTCGATAGCCAGCCAGGACAAGGTGGAGGAGATATTCGCGAAGGACAACACGGAGCAGATCCGCATCGTGGAGCGACTGTTCAACAGCTCGCTGGTAGTGCTGGTCACCGCCCAGAAGCCGAACTGCCTCAAGATGCTGCACTTCAAGAAGAAACAGGACATTTGCAACTGCTTCTACCCGTCGGAGATACTGTGCGTCCGCATGAACCGGCAGCGGCTGATTGTCTGCCTGGCAGAGAGCATACACATCCACGACATCCGAGACATGAAGATCCTGCACTCCATCGAGAACATCGCACCCAACGAGCAGGGTTTGTGTGCGCTCTCCCTTAACTCTCACCTGGCCTTTCCCGTCTGCCAAACCAGTGGCGAGCTGCGCATCTTCAATGCCAGCAAGTTGCGCACGGGCATGACCATCAAGGCCCATGCCACGCCACTCTCGGCGCTGGCCTTCTCACCCAGCGGCGCCCTGCTGGCCACAGCCTCTGAACGAGGCACCGTCATCCGAGTCTTTTGCGTAAAAAATGGCCAGCGGGTGCAGGAGTTTCGAAGAGGTGTCAGCTGCGTCCGCATCGCCTCCTTGGTCTTCTCTTCCAGCGGGGACTTTCTCTGCGCGTCCTCGAACACGGAGACCGTCCACGTCTTCAAGATAGACCCGCGGGCGGTGGAGACCGTAGAATTGAAAGCGATTGGTGAGTTGGCTTCCCAAATGGGTGACACGAATAGAATAATTAAGACTCTTATTATTTATATTTTAGCGGACGTGGCTGCCAGGTCGGAAAGTTCTGCCAAAGAATCAATAACATTCACTGCAGCTGAGGATGTCAGTAAAACTGCCACGCCTGTCGCTAGCTGGGGCGGAATGTTCTCGAAGGCAGTGTCCTCGTTGCTGTTGCCCACACAAGTCAGTGAAGTACTGGCCCAGGACAGGTCCTTCGCCACGGTGCAGCTGGACCAGGGGGGCTTGAAGCACATCTGCGCATTGACTCGCGTCCAGAAAGAGCTTCGTCTGCTGATTGCATGCGAGGACGGCTTTCTATACGTCTACGAGTTCCTTGCGGATCGGGGCGGAGCCTGCAAGCTGTTGTCAGTTCACGATCTGCGCGGAGCTCTGGAAGATGTTATCGAGCTACATCTGAGCGAAAGCGTGCTGAGGTCGCAGACCAAGTCGTCAAACCCAACGATTATGACGCAGCCCTCGCTTACGATGCTGAAGAGCTGCGCGGCCAGTGTGCTCATCGAGAACCCCGATCCGATGCAAGACAACAGCTATGCGAGTATTTTGAAAGGTGACCAGGCGGATGCCATGTCAGGTTAGTAAGTTCAAATAGTCATTTTCGCACACTCTTTTCAACGATATCCTATCTTTAGATTCCGCCAAGTTTCGCAAGCTCTGCGATGCCATCGACACGCCAACAAAACTGTACGACGAGCGACAATTTCCACCCGTGGCAATAGCCGCCAAGGATTGACCGCGCCGCCGATGCCACACGGATATGGTAGTACTAGATAAACAGCCGACAATTTAGCTCTTTTAGAGAATTTCCCAAGAGCAATACCTTAGAAAAATCACCTCAATCAAAAGCGCTAAGTTCCAGCTGGAAGCAAAAATACTCTTCAAAAAAAGTATTTTTATTTTATGTAATGTAAAGCTTGTTTTTCCCGTCTAATTCTGTACATATGAAGGTATCTAAAACAATAGCTCTTTAGAGAATACGGATGTTTTCCTTCTGATTATGTATATTTGTCTTAAGGCCTAGCAAGATTATTTTATCTTAATCATTCGAACTCTCTCTTTTTGTAATATATTAACTAAGGTATATGTATAGTTAAAGATAAAAACTAGGGATAGAAACTCAAAAAAAAGAAAAAAACAAAGAGCGGTATCGAGGAAGTTAAGCAACAAATTATGTACCTTAAAGTGGAGAGAAATAACAAATGTATTCAACTAGCTTTGCGAAATAGTTTTACCATATTAACTGAAGAGAAACAGGTGTAATATTTCTAAGAAAATTCTAAAGTATTCGCATAAAATATGTTAAATAAATATGATTTTGATAGAACAGCAGAATTATTAGAGCAATTTCTAACCCAAAACCTTACGAGAGTATCTAGCAATATGTTCGAATTATGTATGTAAACCTAGAGTATAAAATAATAAAAAACGACAAAAAAAATTAAAAATATTAAAATCAAATAAAAAATTAAAAGCTCAAAAGCCTTCAAATTTGTTGTTATCAGTAATTTACTTTTATTGTTATTATTCACTTATACTTTATTGTAATTTACTTTTATTGTTATTATTCAGAAACTATTTAATTGTCTTTGGAAACAGCAAAGCAAAGTTTTTAAGGAGTTAAGAAAGTGACAATTTCAACATTCTAAGTGTCATTTCAATTTTAGATCTACTCTAATCAAAACCGAATAAAATATCAAAAATAAACACCCAAGAAGATAAGAACGAATTTAGTATAAGTCCATCTGTAGAATCTGCATACTTAATCCCAACTTCCCTTCTCTTATACTTCTTAAAATCTCCGCGTTTGATTCTGCCCAGATCCACCTCTTACATACTTTTCAAGGTTTATACCCGTGACTCGTAGTCGTTACTTCTGTCCGTATGAACGCTTAGATCTCAGGAACTATAAGAGATACAAAGTTCTTGAGGTCCCTAAGCAGGGAAAGTTTATTTCAGCATCCTGCCACGCCTGAATGTCTTCGTTTGATCTTGTATAACACTTTTTTGACATGATTTATTGATTAGCCAAAGATTCTTCAAATCAGAACATTATATTATTTCGCTTTTTATTTAAATTTATGTTATGAGACTCCACATGGACAGTGACATCACCATCAGTTACTCAACACGCTCATTTAAAAAAAGGTGGCGTTTTGTCCCATTTCACTAGCAAAATGAATATTTATATTTATATAAACCGAAAATTGCGTAGCAGTTCCTTAATGAAACCCAAACTCAGAACTAAAGCTCTTGTTTTATTTTACAGCATCAAATTCGACCCACCTTAATATACTTACCGGTAAGTAACTGAAAAACCTTAAGAAAAAGGATAAAATAACTTAAACACACCTTTAAAGAATACGCCGATATAATTAAAATCTGAATTTGGCGCAATGCCGTTGGGTGATCGAAAATTAGTTTAAATGGGACTTACTCATGATCATCTAAATACGGATAAGCCATACGAATGCAGCATATACTCATATATATGCAGTATATACATATATATACTATATCATAGTATACCTGTTCATTAAATGCATTAATCTCGAAATTTAAGTAATAAATTTCATACATATTGTAAGAAGGTTGCTTTATTTGTATTCTTTGCCTAATAATAATGGAACAAAACTGGTGGTAGGATACTAGCAATTACGATGTATAGAATCTTCAAAGGCTTACTACTGACAGAATCGTTTCTATGCTTTTCATAAAAAAAACTTTATTATACTGATATAAAGTTAAACTTTAAAACTTTATTATACTGATTTTGATAAAGAAATTGTTCGCAAAAATGTATATGTTATTTAAAATAGTATGTTAATTAATATTTTAGGTTAAGAGGTTGGTAAGATGTTGTCCATTATTCGATTATTAGTCAATCGTCATTATTCAAGAGGTGATGGATCTCTATCATGCTCCTGATCGGGTTGATGGTGGTGGTGATGATGGCGATGATGGTGGTGATGATGATGATGTCGATGAGGCTGATGCTCTAGTTCTTCCTCCGGGATCAGTTCGGGTTCGCCTTCAGATGTTGGCAATTCATCGATTTGTGTCGACTTGTCCAATTTCCAGCCTATCTCGGGGGGCGGTGTGGTTGTCTTCTGTGATTTTAGTGAGAACATGGAACCGATTTTCTTCAGCTTGTTGTGGACCGATGCCTCTATGTCATGATCCCCTGAGCTCTTGAGGCTTTTCATAGAAAGGCCCTGTGACTTCAATGAATGCTTGGAGCGACTGGTCGAGGAGCTAGACGAAGATGAGCCTTCAGAGCCAGAGCTTGTGTGTACTGGTTTAGTAGTGATCCAAATTCTAGCTGCGAACAACGCCTCTGACCTTAAGGCATCTTTTAGCGAGATCTATGACGAGGAGAAATCGTTATTATTTAAAAGTAATACACTATAAGTCTGGATCACATATTGGTTGATGTTATTTTAATCACTTATAATATATTTCTTAATATGTCTCACTAAAGTAAGCATTTTCACAAGCATTAATTACCTTCTCTTCAATAGCCACAGATTTGACGTTCCAGAGAAACTCTGTACATCCGAGCACCATGGCTGCAAATAAACCAAGACCAAGAACCAGGAAGACACCGCCCACGTTCTCCAACCCTAGTTCGGGTGTATCTCCCCCATCTTCGTCGCTTTTCTCGCAGTTGCCCCCGCCGTGCATCTCCTTCCACCACTTTCGTTTTAGTTCAGCCAGCTGCCCGAGCTCGCCGAGCTTTAGCACTGCCCCGCTGATCTGTTTGCGATATGGCGAATCTGGAAGGATAGGCAAAGAAAAAACGCTATAGTCGAGTGCCGCGACTATAAGATACTCGTTACTGTTTTACACATTATATACATTTTAAAATTTTAATTTTGCAAGTGGAAATGGATAAAGCGCCACCTATTGTCAAAAAAGTATGCCTACTAACTGATGGTGAAGTCACTTTCCATGGGTGGCCTACATTTCCTTATAAATAGCGTAATAATAATCAGATTTGATAATTTTTTGGTAAATCGATAGATATTGATAAAAATATATTATACAAGGTTTTCCGTGATTTGTGGGCGTTATTGTGCCTGCTTAATCTCAACTCTATAGTTCTAGTTTTAGTTAGAGATCTCAGCTTTCATACGAATAGACGGACAGACGGACGGACGGACAGACGGAGAATATATATATTCTTTATAGGGTTGGAAACGCTTCCTTCTACCTGTTGCATACTTTTCAACGGAAAACGAACTCCACAAGTTTAATATCTAGGTATTAATCTAGAAGAAGTTAGTTAGAAGATGATGTAAGACTCATTTCCAAGACTCAGAGTGCTCTCTGTGATAAACCTTGAAGGCAAACAACACTCACTGAAGGGCATGGCGATGCCATAGCTCTTGTAGTCTAGCCAACCGCCAATCTGCACCAGATCGCACTTTCGCTCCACATTGTACTCCAAAGTGGTGGACTCCATCAGAAAGGCATATAGATTCTTGCCTTTCTGTACCCTCTCGACGCCCTCGTCGTTAGTTTTTGTGAAAACTGAGGGACTTGCGCTTTCCATGGCCGTCCACATCTTTTGGTATGTGCTGAAGTTGGAGTCCCGGAAAAAGCCCATCGTGGAACCACCGGCCATGGCTCCGTATTTAATCTTGTTCTGGGCAGCTAGGTCTTCTGCGCTGTTAATGGAGTTTCCTTGGCGGGAATTGGTTAGGAAGGCAGCCAAGTTGGCAGTGTAGGAATTCAGCATCATCAGAGCGAAGAACCACCACATTCCAGTCACCAACCTAGTAGAGGCGGCCCTGCAAAATGATGATCTATAAACCGAAGAACTCGGTGGTTTTGCAAAGGTTATCTTACTTGGGCAGAATATCACAGCCCTGCCCCATTAATGAGCCGATCGAAAGCCAGGTGGTGTTCATAATCGACCATATGTTCTCCACCTCTTCAGGCTCCTTGCAGGGATGAGGGTTTTCCCAGTCGTCGGGTGCCATACGAGCCAGTGCGAATAGCAGCAGGGAAATGAAGAGATATGCGGATCCCATGTAGATCCACACATCCAAAGAGAACGGGGACAAGAATGAGAACAGATCAGTGGGTGGAGTAGGGGGCTTTGAAAACAGTATACTGATTCCCAGAGTCATGAAAGGCGGCGTAAAGTCAACGGCCTGGCGTCGGGAAGACGTCATTGTCAAATCGCAGATTCCCAGATCGGCGTTCTAAGGGCAAGAGATAGAAAACTCTTCTCAAATAAAGAAATTTCAAAATCCCAAAAAATACGAAATACTATGGAACAGAAAAACGTACCCCGTCGATCAGTTGTCTGACAATACCATCCCAAGTCTGGGTGACCTTGTTGAGAGCTCCGTACTTGCCATCGGGTGACATTCGAAATTCATACTTAAAATTGAGCATTTTGGCAATTTCGTTGATTAAGTCTATGGAGTAGCCCTCGTAGCGGGCGTTCCCCGTAAGGATTTCCCCTTCCTCCGGCTCACGCAGTGTTAGAAATGGGGCTCCCAGGCGAGAGGACACAATAAATGTTTTGTTGGACAGCTTTTGACCCACTCTCTTCTCGCTCTCTTCGTCGTCATTAAGGACATCTAATCCGTTAACCGGATCCCAAGTGGCCAAATCCAAAAAGCCACCAGCATTTAGTTCCATAAACCGCAGGGTGAAGAAGCTTCTTTGTCCATTCTCATTGAAGTCAATTCGGCCCGTGGACGTCTCCTCGGAACGCTATGAAACGCAAAGGATCAAAAATACAATAAGTTCTCTAGTTTCATAAACATTAAAAGAAGTTACATTCAAAGCTGTAGAGTGCACGTCGACCAGCATTACAACCTTTTGGGCTATGATACCCATATTTCTATGCGACTTACCGCTTTCATGAACTCAATAATTCGTTTGCCGAAAGGCCATGGTTTCTTTCGTCTGCACTCGAGCTCGGGCGCAGAAAGCTCTTCGAAAATTCCGAGCTCCGTCAGTCCCTTGGAAAAGAGCCAAACGGCATCGTTGAGCAGTATCATCTGGGTCTTTACGCGGTCTGATTCAACTTTAAAGTAGCGTCCCTCGCGCTTCTCGCGCTCCTCCCAGTCATGCACCACGTTCTTTATATGGAAATCGGTTGGATCAATTATTCGGACCGTAGTTATGTTGGCCTCGACACCAGAGAGGTCGCCAAACTCGATGGAATGGGTGTCAAGTTGGGGTATGAAAACGCTCTGAAATTAATGGGATATGAACAAAAGTATTTCTTTCACGGCCTTCGAAGATGAACCTGATATTCGCCCAACATCTTAAGCTCATTTGCTTGTTGCAATATTTTTAACAGGTTATCTGGGGAGCAGTGCAGGATGAGGCAGTTATCGGTGGAGAGCTTAATCTCCTTTAAGAAAGGTCTGTGGTCGTCATCTGATCCCAGCTGTTTCACTGTTGTTGGATTACTGCTGGGCTCACCAAATTGTAAGATATCCTGAAGTTGCTGAAGCTCTGCGTTACTATAAAAACTAGAATCTTTAACTCAATCTCAATTTATGATTTACCTTTATCGGACTCATAGACCACTGTAAAACTACGCCAGCCAAAGCTTTGCACAATTTCCGCTAGTCCCTGGGACAACAAGAGGTTATCTGGATGCACATTCAGGGTCATTGTGGAGTGCTCTCGGTCTGGTATTGACTCATTGGGGATCCAGTCGTACACTATGTGCGGTATATCTAGTGTATCACATATGGAGGCAATTATATCTGCAATAGGCATGTAACATAATACATTTTCTGCAACCTGTTAAATCCTTTAATACTCGCCAGAACTGCTGCCTGTGCTGGGCCCGAAAATGGCAATTACTCCTTGAGAGATCAAGTTGCAAACTAAACTAAATTTGATCAAATTCATTAAGATTTGTCCGGAGCACATTAGGTCTTACCCATTTTCTCCATGATAAAACTATCATCCGTGTTGGCGTACATCACAATTGGGACGAGTTCTATGTTTCGCTCCAATATGTTAGCACGGTCCACCGCTGTTCGGAATGCAATTTCCGATTCATCTTTGTCTGATGTAAAGATGCTGCCTAGAGAAAATGCGCCAGTGGTACACAAACGAATGGCAGCAGGCGAGACTGTGACCTAATTTCAAGCACTTACCCACCATAAACTGAGTTCTATCTGCGGCTACTGGCAAGAGGATCAGTAGGATAAGAGTGAGGTTTACCGAATACATTGTGCATAATATAACTTGAATAGTTCCTTCAAACGAAGCTGCTTAAGCTGGTTGGACTTTCTGATGATGTAAAACTGCCGAACACGTAATTTTCGCCCACTGAGCTATTCGGAGGTCCGCAGTGCAATGAGCAATGGGCGACACACGAAATCAGAACGGCATCAGATCTATGCTAAATTTAAAGGCTCCCGAGCGAAAATAATCTCGAGAGAGGGCTCTGATGCAGTTTGTTTTGCTTTGCTTATTCTAAACAAAATTAATTATTCTGAGAGCAATTGGGGACAAAGTTGTATTTCCTCTTGGAATAGTGCCAAAAGTGTTGTGTTTCGCTGCGATTCATAGGATGGTTTTAATGAATATTCTCATGTTAAGGGTCAACAGACCTTTATTCCCCTTTAATAAGTTGTTTGCCAATGACATGCTTGCATGCTTTCTCTTTTGTTGAAATTATGCAAAAAGGTAAAAAAACTGATAATTCGAAACTTTTTACATCCATTATCTTTGTATGTATATTACAAGTACAGATTTTTGAGATTTATTTTTCATTCATAAAATGTTTCCTTTCCTTCTCTTTCTCTTACATTTTCAATTTTTCAATTATTCGATAACAAAATTGTTTTTGTCTTGAAAAAACTCTTTCGCTACGAAGATCACATCTACTACTAGCAGATTTTCATCTGCTTAACAAGGGTTAAAACTTGGTTCAAACGTCGGAATGAAATGCAAAATGCTTCTACTTTACATAAAACTTTCACTTGAATGCTATTTTCTTTTTCAGTAAAAAAAGCGTGGTATAGCTCCTTAAATGCATGAATTTACAAAACAATCCCTGTTCCTTCGTCGCCGTTGCTTCTTACGGAAAAAGTCGTCAAGTAATCCTGATAAAGAATATATCAACTTTATTTTTTTAAGAATAATAAAATACTTGTGAGAATAATTTAAAGCAACACGAAAGTTCCTATGGAAAAGTTTTTATTTGTTAATGTTACTGTTGCATTGGCATAATTTAGCGGCAATCATTACGGAAAGGAACCTCGTACATTTCAATATTCATCTCACATAGATGCTATACCTTCTTGCGCACAAAGTGATCGTAGAAGACAACATACCCGTACTTGGGGGAGTAGACCATCGAGCGCTTCGCATTTCTGGAATAAATGTTAAACTGTCCGCCCACCGAGATCATTTTGTGATCGCCCCGGTGCATGAAAATCAGTCCGAAGTGGTGATCGTGCATCACCTGGTAGTTGTCGCTGTTGGTGTACTTGACAATGTTGTAGCGAGGGTTCGAGTAGCTCAGATGGTGGGGCATGGGCTTTAGTCGCGATCGTCCTGTAAAGACTCCCCGCCAGTCAGTGTGATCCAAGGCCTCGCGGTAGCAGTTGCGCCAGCTCATGTCCAGGTCAATGTAACCGGAGATCTCTGAGCCGTCGACGTTGATGTATGAGGTGAACACGATTGACTGGAAGAAATGTAATGGAATGTTTTTATGTTATCAATGTTTTAATTCAACAACTGTTTTCTTCTGCGTCTATTTTTGGGGGCACTCACCGAAAGAATCTTGTTTAAGTTGAGCAGCTCCCGGGACTTAAACTCCAGAAGCACTGGGTCGAAGTTTGTTGGGGACATATGGTCGCTAAACAAGCCTACATGGGCAATCTTTGGCCGGATGGCCTCCAGGGCTATGTCAACCCTTTTTTCATATTCATCTGAAGTATAGGGAATCTTTGTGGTGCGGTAGCCCAGTTGGACGATGGTCTTGATCGTGTTCTGGTTGCTCAGATACCTGTAGTCCTTAACGGTGGCAAATGAGGTGATGTAATCATTGTAGTTGTCGAATTCCAAAACGCTGAAGTCCACATTCTTGCCCTGTGTGCCCATCCTTGGTGCGGGTGGGCGTCAGCCAAGAGCCTTACTCTTTGTTTGGGTCTCAGGGATTTAATTTCTAGTGTGTAGTTTTTCTAAGAAAGTGTTTTTGGTCCGAGTTTTCTTTTGTCTTTATTGACATTTTGCTTAGCTGTCAGTTATTGTTTGAACTTTACACGTTACTCTAGAAAATGTTAATACTTAGGTCTGTAAGTTGCAATAATTTATATTACTAGCGCAGCAAAATGGAAGAACAGGGCCTGCACTTTAGCGACTTGCAGGGGAAAGCCGCAGGTTCCAAAATTCTTCGAACTGGAAAGCAAGTGGTAAAGATAACTGTGCCGGAGGGAAAGCAGAGCACCGCTTACGACAACTATCTAAATTCGTTTATCAAACTGGAGGACAGGCGGTATCTCCCGAACGATACTGTGATACACCAACTAGTTCCCTTGAGGACCAAAGTGGGGACCGTTGTGATGACTCCCGACCAGTTTAACGAAGTGCACTTTTCTCCCCTAGGAACGTTCTTCTATTTCAGCGAGCACAATGTCGCTAACGACCCGTTGACCACGGCTCTAGCAGAGCGCGAAAAGCTAAACGCTACTAAAACACTCTCGGTAAGATCCCTAATGTAACCGCCCTATATAGTATTTAAATAAAGACACCTCTTGAGGAAGAAACAAGTTAGGGCGATCTTGAATACCGCCTAAAAGTTTGACCTTTTCTTTTAGACCATCATTTTTGTAAGCACCCGTGACTCAAAAGGGTTCAGTGTGTCTGGCTATATCGACTTGGAACAGAGCTTACGCAGCTTTAAGACCGCTGGGGTCAAGTCTCATCCTTGGGCGGATATTTTCGCAGGTCGTCGGCGCCTGGAACCAAACAATCAGGATCTGAGCTTCATCACCTGGGGCAATGGCAGGGTATTTTACAACGAATCAGATAACTACAAGGTTATCCCGGACGCTGTCAAAGGCCTGTGCTTCTTGTACAAGGGCGATGGCTCTTTGCTCATGATAGAAAAATTTATAACCGACGAGCATCCGTTGTGCACTTTTATAGAGTCGCCCAAGCACGGATCGGTTGTCATATACGATCATCGCATTCGACGGAAAATGTGATTGATATATTGGGTACTCAAAGTGGATATTTGTTGGCCGAGATTTTTTGTTAATCTGGAAACATAAAAGGCTTCTTCATTGGGATTTAAATTTATGTTGCCGCCAATAATAAAAGATCATTCGGCCGTTTCAAATTCTACTTTTGTCGAGCACAGCCCAAATGCACTTCCACTAAATATGTTTCTCAGAAATCAAAACAATATCACGATCGTCATAGTAGTCGGCAACGAATCGCGAGGAACAACAACTCAGTGGAGGAAGTGGCGAATGGCCGGGCAGACTGACTGATGCCGACGACGTCATGGACAAGCGCTACAAGAGTGCCGCGAGAGCATGGGTCGGACTCTCTGCGGTTGTCTGGAGAGAGATCCCCCGGCTGAGATGCCGCTCTTGGTCAGCGTGCCAGTCGATCCGCCAGTCAGTAGGCGTGCGAAGCGCTCCAAGACTGGGTGCTTCCGTTGCGTGAAAATAGATCGTAAAGAACACACCGCTGAGTGTTTCACCTTTTTGTGCCAGTCTGTGTGCGCCTGTAGATATAGATTAGTACATATGCAGCTAAGTTAAAACGAAATGGCTGCTGCATTTAGAAAATTCAATTAGTTTCGAGTGCTTAGAGGTAAACAGAGGAATTTGGAGGAGAAAAAAATGCGTTTCTGTCCAGTCCACGTATATGCATTCGTAATAAACATAGTCTTCTTCGAGGCGAGTCTAGCCCTTGGCGGAGACGGTGGCAATGAAATCACAGTGGGTATGTGTCTCGAACCTCAGTAATAGCCTTTTGTTCACCTTTTGCCGTCTTAAAAGGTGCCATTTTCTATGAAAATGAAAAGGACATCGAACTCAGCTTTGATCAGGCGTTCCGTGAGGTCAACAACTTGAAGTTTGCCGAGCTGCGATTCGTAACCATCAAGCGATTTATGCCCACTAACGACAGTTTTCTTCTGCAACAGATTAGTGAGTATGGAAACTCAGATCTTTGAGAATCACGTTATGAGCAATTCATCTTCCGTGTGTAGCGTGTGAGCTGATTTCCAATGGCGTTGCGGCTATTTTCGGACCAAGTTCAAAGGCAGCCAGTGGTAAGCAAAGCACATACAGAGAGGGTAAGGCTAAAAACACATGTTCGCGATGTGACGGTTCCTCTTCCCATGACAGATATCGTTGCGCAAATCTCAAACTCGACCGGCATTCCACACATTGAGTACGATTTGAAACTGGAGGCCACGCGCCAGGAGCACCTGAACCACCAGATGTCCGTCAATGTGGCACCCTCCCTGTCCGTATTATCGCGCGCTTACTTCGAGATCATCAAAACTAACTACGAGTGGCGTACCTTCACTTTGATCTATGAAACGCCGGATGGTAAGTAAGGATTTACCGCCTGAACCTATTACTACATTTTTTGCACACATCTCAGGTCTGGCACGCCTTCAGGATCTAATGAATATTCAGGCTCTAAACAGTGACTACGTGAAGCTTCGGAATTTAGCAGATTACGCAGAGGACTACAGAGTACTGTGGAAGGAGGCGGACGAGACCTTCCATGAACAGCGCATAATTTTGGACTGTGAGCCGAAAACTTTGAAGGAGCTGCTGAAGGTTTCCATGGACTTCAAGCTGCAAGGACCATTCAGGGTAAGTTATTCATCATGAGCGCCGAAAGAGGTAAAAATAACTCAATTGTTTTTAAGAACTGGTTTCTCACTCATCTGGACACGCACAGCTCGGGTTTGAGGGATATTTACAATGAAGACTTCAAGGCCAACATTACCTCAGTGCGCATTAAAACAGTTGATCCAAATCCCTTTGATCGAAAGAAGACCCGAATAACCAAGGTGGATGTAAGTTGATTTTTGAGGACTTTCGACTTGAATCTACCTATGTACTCTCCTTAGGAAATATTGGGCAACCAAACTATGCTGCCCATTTTGATCTTTGATGCCGTGGTCCTTTTCGCCAGCTCTGCCCGGAATGTTATTTCTGCCATGCAGTCTTTCCATCCACCCAACAGACATTGCGGGAGCCCCTCACCCTGGCTGCTGGGGCCATTCATAGTTAACGAAATGAAAACCATTTCCGAGGACGATGTGGAACCGCGCCTTAAGACAGAGAACATGAAGCTGGACGAAAACGGGCAGCGCACCCACTTTAATCTCGAGATCTACAAGCCGACCGTCAACGAGCCCATGATGGTCTGGACGCCTGACAACGGAATAAAGGTGCGTCGCCTCAACCTGGAACTGGAGAGTGCCGGCACTACTCAGGATTTCTCGGAGCAACGCAAGGTCTACACGGTGGTAACGCACTACGAGGAGCCTTACTTCATGATGAAGTATGTTCGGAGTAGTCAACTAAATTTCACACACTATAGACTTTCTTGTTTTCGTTAGAGAGGACCACGAAAACTTCAGAGGCAGGGAGAAGTACGAGGGGTACGCCGTGGATCTCATAAGCAAGCTCTCAGAGCTGATGGAGTTCGATTACGAGTTCATGATCGTCAACGGCAATGGGAAATATAATCCGGAGACAAAGCAGTGGGACGGAATAATACGCAAACTAATAGACCACGTAGGTTCCCAAAGAAGATTTATCCTAACTTTCCTCAAAATAATTTATTTTCACCTCAGCATGCCCAAATTGGCGTCTGCGACCTCACGATCACCCAATTGCGACGATCTGTGGTGGACTTCACGGTGCCCTTTATGCAACTGGGCATCAGCATTCTGCACTACAAGAGTCCTCCGGAACCGAAGAACCAGTTTGCATTTCTGGAGCCTTTTGCTGTAGAGGTCTGGATTTATATGGTCTTTGCTCAGCTGGTGATGACTTTGGCCTTCGTCTTTATCGCTAGGTGGGCACATGCCTATCTTAATTCCCACTCAATGAGCTTCATAGATACTTTGCAGACTTTCCTATCGTGAATGGCTACCTCCAAACCCCGCCATTCAGGATCCCGATGAACTTGAGAATATATGGAATGTCAACAACTCTACTTGGCTGATGATAGGCTCCATAATGCAACAGGGTTGTGATATTCTACCCAGGTAGGAGATGAAATGTACATTTTTAAAAAGTAGAGTAGTTAAGTTTAATCAGTTATTAATTTGGTCATAGAAAATATGGTTTCATAATTACAATAATTGATCAAGCCATTATCACATTTTTTCTTCACTTATATATTTTAAAACTCAGAGGTGCCCACATGCGTATTCTCACGGGAATGTGGTGGTTCTTTGCTTTGATGATGCTCAGTACCTACACCGCCAACTTGGCCGCCTTTCTGACCAGCAACAAGTGGCAGAGCAGCATAAAGGGCCTGGAGGACCTGATCGAACAGGACGAGGTGCACTTCGGCAGCATGCGCGGCGGCAGCACCTCGTTGTTCTTCTCCGAGTCGAATGACACCGATTACCAGCGGGCCTGGAACCAGATGAAGGACTTCAACCCCTCTGCCTTCACAAGCACCAACAAGGAGGGAGTGGCACGGGTGCGCAAGGAGAAGGGCAACTATGCCTTCCTGATGGAGACCACCAGTTTGACATACAACATTGAACGGAACTGCGACCTTACCCAGATTGGCGAGCAGATCGGGGAAAAGCACTACGGCCTGGCCGTGCCCTTGGGTAAGTACCCGAGCACTGCGTATAGTTAGTACTCAAGGTCGAGTTTTTTCTGTCCCTTTCAGGCGCCGATTACCGAACAAACCTTAGTGTGTCCATTCTCCAGCTGAGCGAGAAGGGCGAGCTTTACAAGATGAAGAACAAGTGGTGGAAGAACCACAATGTCACCTGCGACTCCTTCCACGAGGTGGATGGTGACGAGTTGTCCATTATTGAACTGGGCGGAGTCTTTCTAGTACTGGCCGGGGGCGTCCTTACGGGCGTGGTACTGGGAATCTTTGAGTTTCTGTGGAATGTGCAGCACGTTGCGGTGGAGGAGCGTGTAACTCCGTGGCAGGCTCTAAAGGCAGAGCTCGCCTTTGCCCTGAAGTTCTGGGTGCGTAAGAAGCCAATGAGGATCTCCAGCAGCAGCGACAAGTCTTCGTCGAGACGATCATCCGGCTCCAGGCGCAGCTCTAAAGAGAAGACCCGCAGCAAGACGGCCAGTTAGGAGCTCTAGAAATCTTGCCAGAGGCTCTTAAGTTGATTGTATTTCCATGAAGAATCGTCCGAGAAATGTTGTACTATGAGCGCACATATCTCTATATCGAGTCATACATATATAAAGTTATTTTAGAATAAAGAAAACGCATTTCGTTATACTGCACTAAGCGGAGAATTTCTAAGGGAAGAGAAAAAGAATGTGAACTGTAATCTTTCTAAATTACTTTACGAAAATAGTATCATAGTATCCCTGCTGTTGACAATAAAATCTCATGGAATATAAGCATTGAAATTTGTATTACCTTTGCTGTTCGGGTATTTATTTTCCCCTTGCCACCTTACACCACCTGGAAGGAACTTAAATAAAATGTAAATTATTTATCTTAATAATAATAATTTATCATCCCCAATATATACTAAATTATAATCTGTGCTGAAATCCAATGATGATAATGCGTTTATCATATTTATTATATTTATCTATCTGAGTACAAAACACTTTTTCCATTTCTGTGGACACTCTGCTTGGCTAGATGCGTGGGCGTCCGGCTCGCCTAATTTTAGGTCACTTTTAGTTTTCATTTATTGGGCCATTTCCAGCTTCGGCTCGTGCTCGTGCTTGTTTTCGAGTCTCTATGGTCTAGAGATGTGATGGCTGCTCTTGAGGGCGAGAGTGAAACCCGGAGAACAAATGAGACTCCGTCGAGCGCCTTTCCTCACGCAATGTTGTGGCTTCCGATGACGTAGTAGGTCTCGCAAAGATCGGACGCGGCAGAGGTTAAAGAAATGGAAATTCGGTATAACTCTCTCAGTGCTCTTCGAGCAGCGCGCGGAATTGGCTGATATCTTTTGTTGGAATTATAGTGCTGCCGCGACTAAAATATTGGTTCCTTTCGATTTTCGGGGTTATCAAAGTGCTTTTCGCAGCAGGGAAATCTAGAGTGTGTAAACGGGACCAAATTTATGCGCGGCTCAATCATGGTTGGTCTTCAGTACTTAGTTCTTGTGGCAATGATTTTCTCCAGCGGCTCCAGTGATGATGCTTTAGTGGTAAAAATTGGTTGGTTGATGGTAAAGCATTTCGGTGGCCACTTATAAACTGTATGCACTGATTTCGCTTAGGAGCCATTTTCTTCGACACGGAAATTAAGTTGGCCGAGGCTTTCAGCGTGGCAGTGGAAGAGGTGAATGCAGTGAACCCCGCTCTGAGACTGGAAGCCATCAAGCACTATCTGACCATTGACGACAGCATCGTTCTGCAAGATCTGTGTGAGTGAGCGTAGTAAAGGAAAGGTGTGCCTACATACATCCTATTAAATGTCAATCCTCTAGCTTGTGACTTGATTGGAAGTGGGGTGGCTGCTATATTTGGACCAAGTTCAAAGACGAACAGCGGTAAGTCTCATTTTCCTTTGTGTACCCCTTAGATAATTTATTTTTAAATCGAATCATATGGTTCAGCGTCATAAAATACTGTCTGGCTGCACATACGTATACAAGTCCATAAAGCAAGCTATAGAAAGAGCATTTTGTCTGCGAGTCTAGAGAGAACTTCTAAAGGCTCGTCACCTCGTTAATGATTCTTCAAAATACCCAAAGCACACTCGCACATGTCGGACGAGAAATTGGGCTACCATTAGTGGGTCCAAATATTTTTGCACTAAAAAAGCCGCCCGGTGGTTGGGGGCCATTTGAACCGGTGCCAACAATAATCCCCCCACATTCGTTGCTATTGTTCTCTTTGTGTTTTGATCGGCACTTTCGTTGTGTGACTTGGCACTTCCCCGGATCATTCTAAACAAAACAAGAGGAAACGCTCTAGTCGAGTGCCGCGACTAAAAAATACCCGTTGTGCAGGACACAATTTTAAAATATTCATTTTGCTGGTGCAAATTACAAAGCGCCACCTATTGTCAGGCCCATGTGAGGCCTTATAACCCAAATTTCGTCATAAATAGTGAAATAATTATTTGAAAAATCATTGGTGATTCGATTGATATTGACAAAAATGTGTTATACAAGTAGAGTATAGCAGTTTTCCGCTATTTGTGGGCGTGGCCGGTACGTATTCTTAAGCACAATTTTCTAGCTCTTATAGTTCCCGAGATTTTCGCATTTTTGGTTGATTTTTTTCGGGTTTTGTGGGCGTTAGAGTGTGCATTGGGGCATCATAATAACCTACCTACTTAATCCGAACTTCCTATCACTTATAGTTACCGAGATATCGGCTTTTCTACAAAATGGGACAACCGTCTTTCGAGCTTGGTGGGCGTAAGAGAGGGTGTGGTGGCGCTGGCATATAAAGATTATACATACTGAATTTCAGCTTTCTAGCTCTAATAGTTCCTGAGATTTCAGTGATTTCAGTTTCGTGACTTGTGGGCGTTAGAGTGGGCGTGGCATGATGCCACGCTGCTTATTGACCTCAAGAATCTTCAAGCTTAATCTCAACTTTGTATCTCTTATAGTTCCTGGGATCTCAGCGTTCATACGGACAGACGGACGGACGGATAGGCGGACGGACAGACGGACATGGTTCAATAGAGTTCGCTATTGATCCTGATCAAGAATATATATATACTTTATAGGGTCGGAAACGCCTTCTTCTACCTGTTACATACTTTTCAACGAATCTAGTATACCCTTTTACTCTACGAGGAGTACAAGTCTGGGGCAATACAAGGTCTCATGCTCTCGTTTTCCCTCAGATATAGTCGAGGTTCTGTGCAATATGACAGGCATACCGCATCTTCAGTTCGACTGGCACCCTCAGCAGTCGGGAAGGGAGCGCCTCAACCACCAGCTCAGTGTGAATGTCGCTCCTATGGAACTCCTCCTGTCTGCTGCTCTCACGGATATTTTGGGCAGTAAGAGTTTCGACTGGAAGTCCTTTACTATCGCCTACGAGAAAAGTGCTCGTACGTACTAAAATTCCCTTTTGGCCACATTTTATCCTTACATATCCTAACATAACGCTCCACCCAAGACCTAAGTCGTTTGCAGCACATTCTAGCGTGGAAACAGCTCCATAAAACTGGGATCAAGATGCAGGAATTCGAGCGGGGAAGTGACTACAGAATTCTCTGGAAGCGCATTAACAACGCGCGTGAAAAGTTTGTTCTTCTTGAGTGTCCCTCAGACATTTTGGTGGATGTAATCAACGCCTCGATTGCATTCAATATGACGGGGTCATTTAATGTGAGTATTGACGTGTTATTCATAGTTTCGAACTTTTATTATTCGAATAAACATCATTTTCTGCAGCACCTATTCCTAACAAACCTCGATACTCACGTGAGCGGCATCGACCGATTCTATTCGCGGGAGTTCACTGCATCCGTGGCGGCGGTCAGGATACGGTCTTACATTCCCCCGCCAGTGCACGATGAGATTGACGTATTCGACAATTTTGTTGATACCACGGTAGACTACATATTACATAACTCTCCTGAATGTGGGCTTACCTTACTATGTTGTTTGCAGTTTTCTTCCCTTGAAACTCAGTTGGTCTACGACGCGGTTGTTCTCTTCTACAACGCCCTGATGGAAGTAAGTCAGCTGCCTGGATTCTACATTCCTCAGTTTAGCTGTGGACGTGGCTTTTGGCAGCCAGGGCCGCGTTTAGTAGAGCAAATGAAAAAGGTATGCTATTCAAAGTTTCTATTTAGATGCTGCTTTCGTTTCTCAATATAGAAGCCATAACTTTCTTACGCTCGAATGTGGTGTTTCTATGTTTTCCAGATTTCTCCAAAAAAAGCAAAGCCTCCATTTAAAACCCAAAGGCTGCAAATAAATGTTGACGGTCAGCGAGATGATTTTAATCTTGAAGTTTACAACCCTCTCACTTACCGCGTGACCCACATATGGAATAAGGAGTTCCAGCTTGTGGAGTATGAAAAGTTGAGGGAGAACTCAACTCAAGCCGTTAAGCAAAGGCGGCTGGAAAACAAAGAAGATTTCTCCCAAAAGCCCGTTAGGTATACAGTTGCCACTCGGGTCGGAAAACCTTACTTTAGTTGGCGGTAAGTATATCAGTTACTATGCCGATGAATCTGTTTCTTAGGATTGCTAGGATTGCGAAAAACATAACTATAACAACCTAGTTATCACTTCTAGCTTCTAGCTTCTAAACCTATATAAAAGTATTCGAATCTTCTAGTCCGGAGCCGGAAGGAGTCCACCATGAGGGAAATGAACGTTTCGAGGGTTATGCCGTGGACTTGATGTACAAGTTGGCAGAAGAATGCAAATTCGATTTCAATTTTGAACCCGTTAGGGACAATAAGTACGGGAGTTACGATGCTGCCACAGACGAATGGGATGGAATTATTCGACAACTGATTGATAATGCAAGTATAGAAATCAATGTCCGATATGGAGTCTATATATTTTACTATTCATATAACACCAGAATGCACAAATCGGAATCTGTGACTTGACCATTACTCAGGCTCGTCGGTCGGTGGTAGACTTTACTGTTCCATTTATGCAACTGGGAATAAGTATTCTGTCTTACAAGGAGCCACCACCTAAGGCAGATATCTACGCCTTTCTTAATCCATATGGCGTCGAAGTTTGGATATATGTAATGATTGCGATGATGATCACCGCCTTTGCCCTAGTTTTCACCGGTCGCATAGATCAATTTGAGTGGGAGAAGCCAGTGGAGAACACGGATCACGAGCTGGCGCGGGAGAACATCTGGCATTTGCGCAACACAATGTGGCTAGTTCTGGGATCTATACTCAATCAAGGCTGCGATCTTTTGCCCAGGTAAGTTAAACATATTCAGCTTAATTGGTTTAATATTTTAAGGCGAACCAAGATTTTCCTTCCTTCTGCATTTATCAGAACATCCTTTTAAGATATCTTCACTTAAACCAAATAGTTAGCTTTCTAAACACCATAAGGACATTCTATCAATCAATCGAGCTTATCTTTTATACAGGGGTCTTCCCATGCGTTTGCTGACAGCCTTCTGGTGGATCTTTGCCCTACTCATCTCCCAGACGTACATTGCCAAGTTAGCTGCATTTATTACCGCCTCTAAAATTGCTGGCAATATCGCCTCTCTGCACGACCTCGTTGACCAGAAGAAGGTGCAATTTGGAACGATTCGCGGAGGTGCCACTTCGGTGTACTTTTCGGAATCGAACGACACTGAAAACCGGCTGGCGTGGAACAAGATGTTGTCCTTCAAGCCGGATGCTTTCACCAAGAACAACGAGGAGGGCGTGGATCGGGTCAAGCTGAGCAGGGGAACCTACGCCTTCCTGATGGAGACCACCAATCTGCAGTACTACGTTCAGAGGGACTGCGAGCTAACCCAGATTGGGGAAAGTTTTGGAGAGAAGCACTACGGCATTGCAGTCCCATTAAGTATGTGATCGTGGGATTTAGCATTTCAGTTCTAGTTCTTAAAGCAGAAAACCTAAAATAGAAACCAAATATTATTGTCATGTTTGTAGCTTGCTTTATATCTGGCCAAGATTATTTCATCCTTGGAATTGTTGGTTATGCTCAAGGATTAGTGAGAGGTTTTTCTGTTTTATTATCTTATACTGGGGCTTGTTTTTGCCATTCACTTTCCTAAAAACTCTTGAGTTTGATATTGACTGAACAAAAATCGCCTACAGATGCTAACTTCCGTTCCAACCTCAGCGTGGGAATCCTCAAGCTCAGCGAGAAGGGCGTTCTTTACACTCTGCGGAACAAATGGTTCAACAACAATGAAAGCACCTGCGACTCAAATGCCGCCACGATCGATGACGGGCAGTTTGATATGGACTCGGTGGGAGGGCTGTTCGTGGTGCTCATCGTCGGTGTGATCATTGCACTCGTGATTGGCGTGGCCGAGTTTTTGTGGCATGTGCAGCGCATCGCAGTGAAAGAGAAGGTATGTTCTAGCATAGAATTACTATTACTATAAAGCGTATTGGTAATGTCGAAATCTATTTTAGATCCCGCCTATGCTTGCTCTGAAGTCAGAGTTCCACTTCCTCATTCGATTCTGGTTGACCAAAAAGCCCCTTCACACCTACCGACAGAGCCGAGACTCGACGTCAACGGGCTACTCCTCATTAGAGCACATTTCGAGCGCTTCCAGTGGGAAAAAGAAGAAAAAGAGCCACAGGATCGCGCACTAGAGCAGTGGAAGGACTTCCTTACATTCGGCGAACTACACTTTAGCATAGGATAAGGAAATTCTGGATCAGCAGGGCTCAGTACCTTTCTCAGTTGCTTGCTTGCGAAAAAACTATTATGAAACTGGAGTTCATGCAACTCCGCGATTGCCTCACTTCGAGAACCTACATATATATCTATATCTATATTAAGTTAAGAACGAAAGGATTAATTCATAAAAGAAACATAAATATAAAACTCTTTAGGTTTAGCAAATATTCCTTTAACTCTTTTGTTTTCTTGGTTAATTATTCCAAACCAGAAATATATTTTATGTTTCAGAATTTGGTCATCATCGTCAGCTAATGCTTTTTGTAAGCAAACTATGTTTTGGGCTTGTTATTTGAGTTTATTTTACAACTGCCATGCTTAGGAAGACTTAAGAAGAAAGCTGTCGAGTCCAGTTGCAACAAGAAGAAACACTATAGTTGAGTGCCGCGACCATCACGTACCCGTTACTGCCTTATTCAGTTTTAAAATATTCATTTTTCTACTAGAAAACACAGTTTAACAGTTTTTGTCGGATGAAATATCACCTCGAGCTACGGTGGCATCTCTAGAATCCTTTTGCCTAATCGACTCGGCTATTGATCCGGATCAAGGATATTTCATCCACGTGTTAAACACTTTTAACGAATACAATATACCCTACAATATAGATACTTTTATCGATACGGCGCATCCCTCCCAATTCGCAGAAGTAGTGCATGAGCTTTCGTAAAGGGTTTAAAAAATAAAGAAAGGTGGGTGTTCGTTTCCCAGAATAACAAATTATCACCATAGACGACGATTGTAAGGGAAGTTTAACAAATCATAGAAGCTAAAATAATGATAAGCTTTCCTACACATTGAAAGCTGCGAGTTCTGTATTCTCATCTGGAACCAAAGACATTCTTTGAATATCTTCATATTTTGACCGCTTTGCTCTGTCTCGAAATGTATGCAAATTCCTAAGTGCGGTATAAGATAAACTACGTAGTAAACGCTTTAGTGTTTTGTATTCAATTAATATTAACGTCTCCATCTGGTGAATGGAGGAAAACTCAAATGGTAAACTTTTTTAAAATAAGTGGCTAAGGGCTAGTGTTCTTAGCATAATTCTTAGCAAAAGGAACCCAGTAAATAAAGCTATAAGACTTTTGCTGTTGCCTTTTGGCCTTTGTTGTTCAAGGTGAAGATTTTTAGCCAATAAAGTCATTTAGAGATCACAAATGCCAAGTTTAGTACATGGTTTTGAAGCCCTTAAATGCATATCCTTCCGGGCACAATAATACATTTTTCTAAAATTCAAATTTTTTGCCACAGCTGAAATTGGTCTCGTTTTTGGGGAACATTGGCCGAACTTTAATGGAACTTTAATAGACTTATGCATGCGAAATTCATTTCGGCCCATAAATACCAATTAATATTTTATCCGCAATAAAAAACACAGACAATAAAACAATTTGCGGTTTTTTAGAAAATTTTTCCGAGACTCGCCAAACGAGTGGGCTGTGGCATAAATAACAATAACACAAATAGTACAATGCGGTTAAGCACTCGGAACAGCGCAAACAATTCGGCCAACGAAATCAAATAAAGGAAGAGGAATCAAACACATTTATTCAAATCAAAACAAGCAGAAGGCCCTGTCAAAAAAGTCCTTACAGCATTGGGCCAAATCTAGTGTGGAGGACCCCGGAAACTAAACAGAGCTCGACCCACATTTAACCCGACTCCCCGACTCCCCGGCCACCCGACATCCATTCACACGCACTCTTTGCACTTTCCACAATGTTCTGTGTGGTTTTTTTTTTGTCTTGCTGCCCTTTTTGTTGCCTTTATTGGTCTGTCATGTTTATGTTGGCAAGTTGTTTTTGTTTGCCGGGTAATCGAGTCAATTGTTTCCGGTTCGTCGATGAGGCAATCGAGTGAGTCTGCTTTTTTATGGCCTTTTTTTGTTAAAAAGAAGCTTTTGTTTGCCATGTTGTAGTTGTTCCTTTCCCTTTCCCCGTGTACACATAGCCAACATCCGTTTAGTGAATTGTTACCGGGGGCGTCGCTGACAAGGGTTAATAAGCTGGTGGCCTGTCGCTTTTGCCAAAAGCTGAGAAAGTTCTGCGTTAAATGATTTGCTGGCATTCCAGTTATAAGCCCACTGTAATGAAGCTCCATCTCTGAAGACGGACCCTTTAGATTTCCGTTCGAGGAACACATTCGTCGCTTGATTCGGAGTTAAAGGTTGCACATTTTCTCTAATTGGTTGTTTCTTGTATTATTGATTAAGGCTTTAATCAAATTGCTTGTGATGATTGGAATGGAATTGAATAAGCTTCATGGAAAATCTGTAATGTGTGGAGAAATGTTTTTGGTTTCCTTCAGCATATCATCAATGAAAAGACATTGTGTCTCGGATTATATTAATTGTCCATTTTGTGTCATAATAGGGAAAAAGCACAGGTCCTCTTTCTTCTTTAATTTGAGGCAGAGGAAAACAAGGAGTTGGCTTAAACTCTCGCTAATTTACAATCCGCGACCCAATTGCTGTCCACAAATTTGGGCATCTTATGTTGGCATGCTTGGCGTCAACTACCGGGACATAATTAACCCTTATTTGTACATTTTACGACCGCCACCATAAAAGAGGCATTTAAATTGCAAAGAGCAATGCTTGGCCATTTCGCGGGCCAGCGAAGTCGTTTGTTAATCGCCGGCTTTCAGTTTCGTCTTGGATCCAAAAACTCCGTGGAGGAGGCGAAAGGGAAGCAGGATTGTCTGAGGTGGAATGTCGATGTGTTGAGTGGCTCTTAGGTTAAAGGCGGAATCGGCAGATGCCTGGCTTAAAGCTGCTTACAATTTGGGCGGTTTGCGGGCAAGCGGCTTAACTCGCATAATCCAAGTATCTGACCCGGGCGCAGGCAAACACTTGACCCTTTCGCTGCAGCAGCCATTTCCAATCTGTACGTTTTTATGTTGGTCCCGAGGGGTCGGAGTTGCGGTCTCAATGCTAGCAATGCTCGTCGTCGAAGTGGCTGGAAATAGAGCAAGGAGCTTTCGAAGGTCATAAAAATGCAATAGCTACGAAATCCACTGCCACCCCTTATCAAGCCCGTGACGTTGGTCATTTCATTCAAGGGGTGATAGATTGGCAACTGGTTCCTGCAAGCCAAACGAGAAACCACTTATTTCACTTATAATTCCCAATATCTTCTAGCATTCTCCTCTAAAGGTGCCTAACTTTTCCATCGAATGCATCACCAACCTTGTGCAGTGGCAATATCTCAAGCCATGAAGTCCAAACTGAGCTGAGATTATTGCTAGTTGAAAACTAAAACCAATAGCTCGCCCAGCAGGAAGATCAACGGTCTTCTAACTGAGGCAATTTTTTCAGGCCCTTAGAGGCTGACTTAATAATAAATTTAACTGCTCTTCTATGCACTTAGCACATGGAACTGTCAGCATTACTGGCAATTGGTTACAAAAATGTAAATACAATTGACCAAAAAAATCACTTAACTACAGAAAAAAGGAAATGTTCACACTCTTTTTTCACGAAGTATCTTTCATTTCATCTTTCACGTTACTGGAGTCTAGTCCTTGGCCTTAAGCTAAAGGCCATGCCATGCTAAAATCCTGGGTATTACGTTCCTTACAAATATCATCGCATATAATGTATAACATAATTTTTGAACGACACAAAGTTCGTGACAGGTAAATCTGCCCTGCCCAATAAAGCCCAATATTACCCCTGTATTCCTGTACCCCTGGTAAGCCAATTTACAGAGCTATGTTAGCCCAATTAAAACGAAGCTAATAGCCAAAAAGCGAAAAACAGTAAACAACACTGTCACTTAATTTAATCACATTTATAAAAACCACTAATTGACTTTTGAACGTTAATGCCTGAGCACCATTGAAACCGCCGGTGCACAGAGCCACATACCCATATGACGTTATGGCCAGGCATGAAGATGGAATCCGGTATTGGGGACAGCAAAATGTTGCCATATAGTAATTGGTATTTCTGATATGCATGCGAAATTTCGTTCGGAGGACTCCGATACTCTTCGTCCTACCCACAATTTCCCGCCGGTGTTTGGGCTAATTAAATTATTATTTTCCGCAAAATGTTGGTTCGCGGGATGAATGCATAAATAAATTTAAATTATGAGCCCATATTCGACCTAACAATGTTGCCTGGCGAGTTTATATAAAATATTTTACGCGTTCAGTTTTGTTTTAACCAAAAATTATGGTACAAACGAGAAGGGATCTTCTCTCGTTAGAGGTAATACCTGAATTGGATGAATGTCATACTGAATGGATATTTAAAATCATGTTTTTCCTTTGCGATTACAACACAGATTGCCTTGTCTCACTAGAAAGTCTCTGAAAGTCTTGTTGTAGCAAATACCTTTGCCAAGCTACCTCTAAACCAAACCGGAAACTGAACTATGAAGTTAGGTAAAATAAGTTTAAAATAAGTAACTAGGATCTACTGTCTGTTGCCTATGAAACACGTTTGACTTTTAGAGAGTTCAAGTCGTGGTTGGAAACCTATTCAATAGAAATAGCTGTGTCCATATCTATGACAAAGATATTCCATGTTATCTTGTTAAGGAAGCAAACAAACAAAAGGTTTGCATTTACCTTTGCTTGCATGTCCGTTAGCTTATATTAATTAGTGACTTTCCAGGTTATGGATGGCCGACGAATCGAGATTGGCTTCCGCTGCTAATTGCCACTGGAAAACCGTATGTCACAAAAGCTTGGCTGAATGAAAAGTTTGCCAAACACTAGTTGACATATATTCGCTGATAAAGGAGGTATCAAGCGGCTTTTACGATGAATTGCCTATCTTGTAGGCACAAGAATACCCTTTTAGATTATTTATATTTTATTTTATTCTGCGAACAAATCTTCAATTGAGTACAATATTTATAGTGGTACACCTTAACCCTGTTTCTACCATGACAATTTAATCTAAATATTTACAAAACTTGACCCAATTTATGTTCTTCTTTATTCACTGCTGGTATCCATGATTTTTGGTAGCGCATCTGCGCCATTCGATATACTCGACCAGTGACACTTCATATTTATACCGACTTTTCGTTTCGTTTATTCTTTCACACGCTATCAGTTTTCAATGAATTTTCATTTATAAAACAAGTCTCTCTGCCTTCCACTTTGCACTCTGCATTCCCCATAACCCATTCCCCATTTCCCACTTCACCTTTCACCTCTTTTGTGTTTCTTTTCCATTTTTTTCTTTTTTGCATCGAAATGAAGACTCGAAGAGCGTGCGTCGCACCGTGGGGCTCATACAGCAAAGGGATATATTAGAATGCCAAAAATATTTATGTTTATATTCGTCTTTCGACTATCCAATACCTAATCGAAACTTTAAAGCTCAAGATTTAATTGGATGAAATTCTCTTAAAACTTTTCATTGTGAAGAGAATGAAACTCAATCTGATTAATCTAGGGCCTTAGGGTAACTCGGACAGAAAGGCGGACATGGCTTTACCAACTTTTGTGATCAAGAATATTCGTGGTTCAAAGGTTCAAAATGATATCGATTGCTGGGATTCAGTTGTGCAATAAGACAATGATTTTTAGTGCTCTTTGAGTACCAAGTAATTTGAATGCTGTTAGCCAGCTCTGCGATGTGTAATCAGGTAGTGTGGTTTGATAATAGAATAATAATGTATATAATGATTATTTCCTGCATTGTCCAAACTTAAAAGCAGCTCCGTTCGAAGCCAAAAAGTATGGATTGGACCCCATTGTACGTCAGTAGTTAATCATGACTCGATTGCGTAGGGTGAGCGGGAGGGGCGCTGGGGGAAATTACAAATGCCGGGGTGTGCGTTAACCTGCAGCATGGCGAAGTACCCATCATCCATCCACACCTACCCCGATCCCCTTTCACTGCGATTGCCAATCAATGTTTGCGCAAAAATATTTGCCTCTCCTTTTTTCCACACTCTTAGCTTTCATACCCGGGGCATGTGTACTCTTTGTTTGTGTTTTCGATAAATCTGTCTAGGCTTGAAATACATGCCATGACGCTCAATTGCAGTGGATTAAATTATTAAAAAATGGCCTGGCACGCAAACGGAAAAATCGAAATACGAAAATATGAAAATACCCCGTATGGAGCCCGGGAACAGGGCTTCAGGTTAATTGGAGCGGGTGGCTACCTTAATTTGATTAACATTTAAATTGGCTGTGAGTTGCTACTGAGCGGCTGGCAATGAATAATTATATCATCACTTGCGGTCAAACGATATACAGGGCTTCCTCGGTCGACCCGTCTGTCAATTTTCATCTCGAGCACAATCAAACTTGCAAGCCTGAAATAGGGCTGGAGAAAGACCGTAGAACCCGAATTGCCTGGTCCCCAGTAGCCCCGTGGCTAGCAGAAGCACAAATAACTACAACATTTTTTCCTGCACGCCATTTTCATATTAAAGAAGTTTGAATTTATTTCCCGCCTGCTCTTCCCTCCATCTTGCCGTCCGTTTTTATTGTTTCACCTCACCGACAGGTGGGAAAGTTCTCAGGGCCTTAGCTACTCTAAAGAATCACCAGGGAGCAGGACAACTTTGGCCATTTAATTAAACATAAATCAGCCATAGGCGCCGCATCTTGTGCAACGGCGATAGCCGTGTGGCCTTCTCAAAGGGGCTATAAACTGTCTGACTTTAAGTTCTTAATTAATTCAAATTACAGTTCTTTTTCAAATTAGCTAGATTCGTTTTATATATTAATCTGTTAGATTAAGTGCATTATTTAGGCATCTTTTCTGGGCTTTTATGCTCATCTCGGGTAGTCTTGATTGATAGAGAATGCGTTAGTTCGTAGAGTAAAAGGGTATATTAGATTCGTTGAAAACTATGTAACAGGTTGAAGAAGGCGTTTCCGACCCTATAAAATGTATATATTATTTATTTCTATCAATAGCGAAGTCGAATAAGCCATGTCCGTCTGTACGTCCCACCGTCCGCCCGTCCGTCTGTCCGTCTGTCCGTATGATCGTGAGATCTCAGGAACTATAAGAGATACAGTTGAGATTGAGATGGCAGATTCTTAACGCCCACAAATAGTGGAATACTGAGGCGTCCATAGTATTATAGTGTATGTCTTCGTTTGACCTTGTATAACACATTTTTGTCAATATCTATCGATTTTTTTGTTTCGCTATTTATGAAGAATTGTAGATTATAATGCCTTACATGGGCAGTAACGTCACTATAATTTACTCAACATGCTGTCTCTGACAATAGGTGGCGCTTTGTTAATTTTCAATAGCAAAATGAATATTTTAATATTGTGTAAAACAGTAATGGGTATCTCATAGTCGTGTTTCTTCTTGTTTGTTGTGGTTAGATAAACCTTTAGCATATTTAATACATGGCAAAATCGAACTAACTAACTGTAATACGTAGCTGCAGAAATTTACCAAATTTTCACACAAATTTACCACAATATTAATTCATAGCACTGAGTACAGTGTGCATTCGATATGTGAGCATACTGCAGTAGGTATAGAGTATTTGTATTCGTTGAAAAGTAAGTGGATGGAAGCGTTTCGCTCCCCAAAAAGAATAAATATTATTGATCAAGGAGAACGAAAAAAACCTAAAACGCTTTAATCTGAAAAACTAAAAGAGCTAAGAATTATAGATGACGTTTACACAGCTACAGACGAAACTCACATTTTAATATTTTTCAAACTGGTATGTAAAGTTTGGGATTGTCTACCATACTTTATTGACCCGTTACTCTGTTAACCAGTTTTGAAATAACTATGCTAACAGAAATTGACGCCGGTAAGAAGGTCTTGAAGGCAAATCTATGTAGAAGATGATGTTTTTCGGCCTGATGTTATTCTGAGTAAAGAATGTGCTGCTAAATAAATTATGTTTAAATTTTTTTCTCAAGGGAAATTCCAAACATGTCTACATGAAACTTTTTTGTTCGAAGTATTTTCCTTCGCATTTTATTTGTCTAACCAAGGACTGCAGGACTGTTTTTAAGCCCTTAAACACAAGAAGCATTTTCCACCAGCTAAACATTCTTATGCGGACACATGCCCACCCTATACAGACTCATGTGAGGCCTTTCAACTTGTTGTCTCTCAGCATTTTTAAAATCAAAAAGCAACACGACGTCAAAACAATTTGTCGTCATTTAGAAGTCGACATTTAAATAAGAAAATGCAAATGAGGCGGTGATTACGAGGACGACGACGGTGGTAGGACGAAGGAAGCAGACGGTATGAGCTCCCAAATGTATGCAATAATATTTTTTATGCGCTTGCAAGAAGACGCATAGGTTCTGTTTGGGTAAAATTAAGTCTCGGCTAGGGCGGACACTCAACCTCGACGGCGTCCT